CACTGTTTGAAACCGGACTAAACGAGGTTTATAATTTTATACAATAAAAAGATATTTTGGAATAGAGAATAATCCGTACTGATCGAAACAGCACTATACGAGGTATTGCTGTACTTTATTTATTAAGTGATTTTTTCTCATCATATAACTAAAATTAATTATCTTAGATTATTTATGTTAATTATTATTATTATATAAAGATTTTTATCAATAATGCAAAGTGTATATTTTAAACCAGTGATTCTCAAAGTGGGCGCTACCGCCCCCTGCTGGGCGCTGCAGCGATCCATGGGGCGGTGATGGCCACAGGTGCATTTGCATTTAATATATATATATCTTTCTGTTTAATTGTTATTAAAATTTAAAAAAAAATCAGGGGGCGCTGAGTAAGTTTTTTTCTGGAAAGGGGACGGTAGGTCAAATAAGTTTGGGAACCACTGTTTTAAACTGTTCCTCATCTTTTATGTAAACTTAATAAGAAGAAAAAAATATATAGTTTAATTAGTATAAATTATGAGATTTTATTAGGTTTATTCAATCATAGCGCCTGACCGTGCCTGCCGTAACTTCGCTGCGGATAAAAATAATTAAATACATTCCATGAGAAACACGCATTAAAATGATTTCAGATCTTATCATCATTTTTATGGTATAGAATACTGCATACAGGTATTTTATCAGAATATAAAAATCGCACAAAAGAATTTATAAACTGTGTTGGGAATATCAGCATGAACGTGCGATGTTCGTGATCAAAAACAAACAGCAAAAAAAAATGTAATCATACATTCAATTGCTATTATCTCTCCCCTGTGATATTAACAAAGAACCACAGGAGAGAAAAAAAAGGAAATAATAGCGTACAAACAGTTCGTGCTCCAGAATTAAAAACAGTTTAGCATTTCAAACGTAAATCGCGAGGCTCCAAATAAAAAGAACGTATTTAAATTTTTGAGTTCCATCGAATGTCACGCGTTGGTTTACTGCACATAAATTGAAGTAGTGTAAAAAAAAAGGTGAAGAGGAACAGTACAGAACCAGAACACACGATGAACTTCAAATGGGTCGTGCTAATGGTTTCCGCATTGTCATGTCTGGCCGAAAAACAAGAGGAAAGACGCAGACGGCCGTCCGATCGTATTTTGAAACTGCTGCTCAAGTTTATGGAGCAGCCGGAGACAATGAACTGCGGCATCTTGGATGAATATCATAACATCCAAATCGTTGCTGATTATTCGAACTGGACTTGTCAACATATACCAGATGTTAAGATGATGGACGGAACATGCAGTGGTAACAAAAATATGATGGAGAAGATCGTATTGAGTAAGCAGCTGCAAAATGTAACTGATGTCCAAAATGCTACGATCTGCAGTGATGAAGATACCACTGACAACTGTGAAGATTTGGTTCGCTACAGCAATTGGAATACCGAAGTTGAAAGGAAGAAGTTCCTAAAGATGATTATCCAGTGAAATATTTATTTTGTTTGTTCTTAAAAAAAAAACAGTATGTGTTTCAATATATGTGAATTATAATAATAGAAGTGTATTTTTTTTATCGAAATAAAGAGATTGTATCTGTATGTCATACATTCCCATAGGACTGTGCTTGGTTCTCATACCATATGCTATTTCTACCCAGTAAATATTCCAACCTGAATATGGTTACATTTATTGATTATAATTTATCTGCATCAGAATAAAATTACATTAAAAAATAAATAAAATAGCTGAAGTTGGTTAACTAAAAGTGCGAAAGTTACAATTAATTAAATCTTTAAGTTGTACTGCACACGAGACTATACCTCAGAATATAAAATATTATTATAATGTAAATACTAATACGAAATTTTAGTCCAATATCTAAAAAAATGTGCAAATACACTACACATAGATACAGTTACAATAAAAAAGTTGATCTGTTTTTGAAAAATTTGTTTGACGTACAAAAATCCAAAACAAAAACTGTTTCTGAAAGGAATGTTGGTTCTCGAATAAAACTCCCTCTCGGCCATTTACTTCCTAAATCAACACCCTTACATATAGATAAAGTAAAGTTAATTGTTTCTCTATATATATTTTTTTTTAAATTTTTTATTAGACCAAAGTCGATAGCCAAAATAATTTTTCATAATCAATTAATTATGATTATTATATTGTTTAAGATTTTAGGCATATTTATTAATTTGTATACAATTGTATGCAAAAAAAATAGACAGTTTTACTGTTTAAACTTTGAGAAGAAGCATTAATACATTTTTATATTAATTCTTATCAAAATAAAGGTTCTGATTTCGAACAACCTATAGGAACCAATCATGTTCGATAATCGCGGATTCACTGTAATTGAAAAATATACTATTAAACTTACTTAGATTTATGGAATCAACAATAACATATAGCTACAAAATACATCGTTGAACAATTTTTTATTTTTTTTTATTTTGCTCAATTATCATTTTCAAACCGTACTATAGTGAATACCGTACTATACGAGGTATTGATGTATTTATATTAAAATAAATATTAGTATGAGTATTAGGTAATAACAAATATTTCTATAATCATGCAAAAATATTATTTTGTAATCTAATATAGATTAAAGAGAAATATTAATAGTATATATAATGTAAACAAATATTGTATTTATATTGTATTAATTATGAAGTAGGTTAAGAAAACATAGCAAAAGAGCTTAGGAATACTCAAATATGTTGTTAATATAACAATACGGAAGTGGATGTAAAGCTGGAAAGAGTTCAGGATAATAATTGCATTGTTCATATAAAGACATAAACTAAATGCAAGTTAGAACAATACTAACAGTATAATGAAAAGAACGGAACGTACATGAGTATCTTATATTTTCGTTTCTACGCATTCATAACTTGAAACATATTTATTTGCAATTAAATGTACATTGAAATTATTCAGATAATTTTACTTTTATTTATTTATCAATTTCTAGTCGATCAAAACCTGTGGAATAAATCCTGTTGTTAATTATTATTTGATAAATGTGTATAAATAATATTGTCGTGTTAATTTTATGTTATTAAAATGTATGTACTTTTAAATTAACCGATTTAAAATCTCTCTGAATAATATATTTCAGAAAATTCTCGTGCATAATGAATCGAAACAAACATTACAGTTTGTTAGCACTATTAAGTATTCATGTATGAGGTGGAATATACGGAATTCAAACATAATGTATACGAATAATTACATTTGTAATAATATACATTATTCATTAAAAGAAGTTCGATTTTGTAATTTCTTCAGTGTAAAGTATTTACAATTTAGAGAATTATCCAAGAAATACAGCATAAAGAGGCTTTCTTCATACAGTTAATGAAGAAAAAATAAATTTTGCTGAATTTGCACAACTCATATTCTAACACAAATGCAATTGTTATAAATAATTATTTTTAATAATGAAACATTCCAATTTACTTATAAATACCAATGAACCCGTTTTAAAGATAAAATAACTGAGAAAACCTTTCAAATTTACCCTGCGCATCCACCATTAAATATACGTTTGGATTAGTGAATATAAATGAATATAAATAATATCACTTGTATAAGTATCAATAATTATTTATTAAATTTAAATGTTCAAACTTTACAATTACATATTTGGGAGTACGAGATTTGTATAGAACTGTTTACTATTTTACTAATAGCATTCTGACTGATGAATTCTACAGAAAATTGATGATTTCATTCATATAAACAGTTGAATGACTCACTAATTTGTTTTCTTTTTTATTTTGTAAGACATTCGTTTTTTTTAAACATAGACTAGTTCGACACATTATTAAAGTCGTTGTATTTTGTATAAATAATCCATATTAAATAAAATAAACTTAAGTAAAAATTTGATAGATATTTTAAATTACGTAATACAACTTTCGTTTTTTGTTTGCATTATTTGGTAAAAGAAAGAATATAAATATGAATGTTTTTTCTTATAATTTTAAATCTCTGACCATTAGTTAGTGTAACCTATGTTTATTTTCTGTAATATAGAGGATACTAAAAAATAGTTTACATGATGATAGATTTGGTTTTTCAAGATATTGAGAGCAAAATATTTTGTACTTTGTGCAATAAAAAAAATTCTTATATTATATATATATTATAGTATTTTATTCTAAGAATATCAGTATTTAAATGAGATTCTTCGCTAACACTATAAACGAGTTAAGTATTAACATCAAAGATTTTTTTAAATTACGTAACACAACTTTCGATTCTTATTATGAAAATTAATATTATAGGAATTGAGTAGAATAAAATTTCAGTAATTAAAGGTGGTTTCATTGTAATGCAGTTAAAGATAAAATATATTGTTTTAGTTGTTCTTCAACAGGGTTTGAAAATCGAGTTCTTTTATTTGCCACGAAACTAGCGTCGACCGTGGAAAAATATTTTTAACAACATCGAAAATCTCGACTATTTTTAAATCCGTGTGGTGAGTGTGTCCGAGGAATAACGAAATAATGGTGCGAAATGTTTAAATCCGCGGAGGAAGAACAAAAGGCGACGCGCTACGAATGTGCGCGTTGTTTTCAGCTTTCAGGATTTCGCTGTTTGACGTTGTATTTGTTAATGTGCGGAATGGTGGATATATTATATTACTCAGTTCTATTAAAAGTTCCGTTGTAACACATGCATAATTGTTAAAAGTCGTAACCTGCTGGTAAGCTTCTAGCTTAGTACTGGGCTATTTTTAAATCCCTGTGTAAGAGAGTAGTTAGCGTGTGCGCGCGGATTCGGCCAGCGCTCAGCTGTACACTGAAATTAAATTATTCGCTGAAGTGATGTGTCAATTTTGTTAAACCGGGGGCAGCAAAGCAATAACTTTCGCTTTTCTCTGTTTCAGAGGAGACGCATCATGAAGTAGATAGAATGGATAGAAGTTTCGTTCTTAGGAATTTTGGATGAGATAGGGATGGTTGGTCAGTCTTTCTTTCATGTATCGTTCGTTACCTGGGCCATGTGTACACCCCGGAGACCTCGAAGCCGTAGTGCCATGAGCCGGAGTAGGCGCCCTGACCCTTGGGGCCCGTACAGACGCCGTGACCATGGGCCTTGCCCTCTTCCCAACCACCGCAGTACGTCCCCCCGTCATCGAAATCGAAACGGCCCCCGTTCACGTGGCTCTTATTGGTGGTCGCGGTGCCCGTGGCCCCGGTGGCCGCCGGGGAACTACCCCCGTCCTCCGTGCCTTGTTGCATGCCTATTTTTAATCCACTGAGGCACTCAGTTTGGCACTAATTAGCAACCTAGGTGCCATTTCTCTCACTTTCTAGGTACTCTCTCGCACTGCACAGGTATATAAATAAACATCAGCTCGCCATTTCGATCGGTCGTGCGGAAGTCGACGCGGCACTAAATGCCCATTGCCCGGGCGCGCACGGATCCGACGCCTGGCGTCGCGAAACCGCGCATGCCATCTTACCCCACAAAAAAGAAACACACATACACGCACTCAAACACACACACTCACACCTATTAATACAAATTAATCTTACCCGATACACGCACGCACACCTTCAATCATCCCAAAAACAACTTACCCGCCCTTCCCCAAATGAAAAAAAAACAAAAGTAAGAAAAACGTCCTTATAACAAATCCAATCCAGTATTTATATCGGCATTAAACATCGACGAAGAATCTTCGTGACCATCAACCAAATACAATGTGACTCATTTAACTATATGATTTATAATTAGTGAGCGCCTCTCATCCGACGTCGCCATGGGGGAGTCGCGACTCCCAATCAAGAGCATACCACGGCTATCATGTTTTCAAGGCTGTTTTCGAGAGAAAAAAAACTACACACACCAAAAACCTATTCGATACAAAACGCTATTTTTAACGCTATTCTATTTTGTACGTTTCACGCTCACTCACACACATTCGTACGCATGCAAAACGTAGGACGAATACCCTCCTCCTCCCTAAATATTCACTATAAACCTTGAACGCAAATTATTCGATTTTAAAAAGAAACTCATCTGACAATATAAGTTGAGCATTCCAATTTTGTCGTTTTCATAATGACCATTCAGTCACGCACCGTCCACCCTAATACATTTCGATTACGTAACTTGTGGCAATCTCGCGATCCAATTCCAATAATGGTCATCGAAACCAAGACGCATCAGTCTAGAATTTCTTTAAGCATTTACTAACTATGGCCGTATCAAAAAAGGTCGACAACCTTTCATTAATATTTTCGTTTTATTAATATAAGACTTTTGTAAGATATATTTTTTAAATATGCTTATTAAATTTTTATTTGTTTATTTATGATTGTTTCAATAAATATTCTATATTTTTATTATTTTATTTATAAGAAAATAAATTTATTCTTGACAGTCGCCAATATATATTTCTTATTAAACAACCACAAAAAAGCGTACTCGATGTGATTGAGTATCAATTGTAATTGATAGAAATAGAGATTCCAAAAGGAATCTAAAATATTTGATTAACTAACTAACATGTCAAACATTCCACCTCCGCATAATGTTGGCTCTTATCTATTTTTCGGACGAAAAACGCACCGAACAAAATGTATGAGGCAATTTTTAGAAAACGTATTATTTTATAACATACCATAAGCATAACATATACCCAAATTCTAAATCGAGTTTTATTGTTCAAGCAGATTCAAGGAAAGATTTCGAACAAAAGACCATTAACAATGAAATAAATAGAAATAATGAACAAAAAATCCATTGAATTTTACATCACAAAAATTATTGGTACTATATTCATAGTAAATTAACAATCCGTTTGCTACCCTAATTGTACGTTAACCCAGGGGTTCCCAAACTGTGTGCCGCAGCTGTGCTATAGGGGCGCCATGAAAATTGAAGAAAAACATAAAGTTTGCTCTGAGCTATCTCAGAGCAAACCAATGATTTGTCTTGGGGCGCCGCGAAACAAATATGATATATTAAGAGTACCGCAAACCGAAAAAGTTTTGAATCCCTGCGTTTAAACTAAAAGTAATACATTTTAAAGATAATAGTTTCAAGAAGAAAAACTTAATAGTATTCATCAAACATACAGATATCACACAAAAAAAAAACAATAAAACGTGAATTATATATATATATATACTTATCATATTTGATTACAATTCAGTGAAACCAAATTATATATTCTATATGATAAAATAACACACGTTTTACAAAAATCTAAATTAACAAATGATGCAATAACTCGCATACTGCTGGTAATCTATTCCGCCAATATCCCAGACTATTTGAAAATGTTTTTTAGATTATAAATATTTTTCAACTCCCTTTGCTTATTGTAATTTGTATGGTTGTATTTCACTACCTGTTATTTTCTGCTATATTTATTGCTAGTATTTTCTTCTGTCAGAGTCATTGTTAAATATTTCAAATAGATTTTCACTTTATCTCCAATAATAATGACTGTTTAATTTCTCCAATAATAAGATGATAACAAAAAATATAAACAAAATAATATAAATTCATAGTAAACACTGAAAATAAGAACTCAATTCTCGTTTTGTGCATTTTATTTTTTTAAAGTCCTCAATTAGTTCGGTTTTCAAATGTCCGTCAGTTCGGCGGAACTGATATGGGAAGTACTACTCAGGTACAATTAAACTATAAGAAATACACATTTGGATAGTATTCGATGTCGACTCTTGATCTAATACTGTTACAAATAAATATTCTAAACCTTCAAATATTTCACTATCTTTGCATACATATGTTATCTATTTATTAATCTAGGAAATTCTAAATGCGTGACGACAGATGACACTTATCATTAATGCAATTAATAGTTTTTATCGTTCTATATTCATTAGAATCTATTCCATATGAATATTCAGTAAATTAGATGAAGGTTGTCATTGACTAAAATTTACTACCCGACTAATATGTTCGTGCTGAATAACTAATGAAACCAAATCCAGATGTTAATGAATACGTTAAGTGACATATGTGAATCTGGGTGAAATTTTCATTGACTAGACAAACTTTTAAGAAGATTTTCTAGGTTATAAGTTGAACAAAATTAGAATTTTACATATTACAGTATTAAAAATTAATTTAAAAAAAATGTTATTAAGAATTTCTTCAACGTGCAATTAAACAAGAAGTGTTTACTATTAAAATATAATGTTAATCAGCTTATGTTTTGATTCAATTTGGACAATAAATTGTTACTATTATGTTTTTAAAATAAATAAATCGAATCTAACATTTAAGAAAAAGTTGAAGATATAATGCCAAGAAATTAACAGGTAATAGACTCATATAATGAAAAGATATACTGTATTATCTTTATTGCAGTAATTATTAATAATTATTACGTATACAAAATTTGCATTATGATGTGTAATCTTTGATTCAAATATCTGTTAAATAAATTGATTTATTTTTGATTATGAGTTCCTTATATAGATAGGTATCAACAATTTCACATTGATTAGAAACAAAATTGAAATATCTTCACTGTAAATATAAGAAACATGTGGATGCGACGGGTATAATATTTTATTTAAAATCGTTTTATTGTCTATATATCTATTTCATACCATAAAAAAAAATAATTTAATGCATATATACTCCTTCAACGTATAATTACAACAATAACTATCTAAAGAAAACAAAAATCACTTTATAAAAATGACCATCATCAAAATTTACTGATGAACAAAAAAATTTTCAGAATTCAATTTTGTACCTATTGCTATTCTATCACAAGCTAGTCCAACTAATCGTACTAGTGTTGCTTTTAATTAATTTTAATTTAAAAATAAATATAGCAACACTTATAAGAATTATTAGCGACATACGTAAAGCTGCTGTTAAATATACATATGCTTCAGTGAAATTCTGAATTAGTTTTAGAGTTTGTTTCGGACCAACATTTAATTTTATTATAGTAGCAAACAATTTATTTTTTTCGTACAATTAGAGTCTAACAATGTAATTTCAATCCTTCAATGTTTCTTCAGGTGTTCAAATATTAATACCATCAATATTATATAGAAAATTAAAAAAATAAGTAATACACATTCAAATAGTTCAAATCCAATTTTTGTTTGTTGTATAGCAAAACAAAAAATATATACCATTATTATAGTATATAAACAAACAAGCTCCCAATGCATGAATGGGGATCAACTTAAAAAAATGTGAGAACGGGGGGTAATACCAGAGTAAAAAATTCTGGAACAGATTAAGCTCGTTAAACGAGGTTTCACTGTATATTGAAACATTTAGATTTCTTTTCAAATTTACATTCTAATGCATGTACATTAAATATGTAAGTGATATTGACAAACGCGATTATTGACTATCGTTTTATTAACAAATTTATTCACTTGAGACAATCATGAATGAAATAGTGAACACACGGCGAACAAAAAGACATTATCCTCGGCAGTAAATGTTATGTCTACTGTTTTAATTCGAGTAATAATTGTCATCGGCTGCTTTGAAAATGAAAAAACAATAACAGGTTATTGTAAATATATATTGTAAGACTTTGAACAATAATTAATTTAAGAAATAACAGGTAAACCCGATACAAATAATTTAATTAAATACAACAATCCTATTAATAATAATTGATATTAAAATAACTTACTAATATCCTAACGAACACACACAGGTGTTAGTCGTTCAGATATGCACGGAGTTTATTTTATCTTCACCTATAAACTACCACACTCCTCGCTTAACCTGTAACGGGCATAATTTCACTAATTTCATATTATTAATTATACTTATTTTCAAGTAAAATTAACGTGCCTATGTTTATTCTTAATCATGTTCTAGCGACAATAAATAACATCCTGATTTGACCGAAATAAAATTAAAATATGTAGAATGATATAAATGACGTAATTTAAAAAATAAATGTTATTTCTTTTGGCAAAGTATGAAGTGCAAGTACATCCGTGCAACAAAAATTCGTAAATGTGTGCATTAAGCGTAAGAACTTTTATGTATGTAATATCTAAGTTAACTTTTTCATTGATATTTATAGATTATTTTTAATGTTAAATTTATAATTATGATTCGCAGTATAACAGTACAAACGTTATAGAACACGATATACTTTTAATCCCGTAATAATATCGGACACTTATTCAAGTACTATTCACAATTATTTGAGTTATACAAGTTGTTTTATTAGTAGGACTCATGTTATCATTCATAGACATTTGATGTTGTTAACAAATACAATTGGTATTGATTTCATTTTGATTGTATTATTACAAGAATTCACACTATAAAATAATAAAATAATATTATCAAATAAATTTGCAAGGACTGCTATTTAAACAAAGTGTTTATTATGATTTAGCAATATGTATATTTTTTTCATCAACAATAAATACAATAAAACGATACTTTTACTTGACATTTACATATAAATAATGAATTAAAACAAATCACAACAATGAAAAAGTAAATTTAATTTGAATTTTATAAAGGAATTGCACTTAATAATTGGTTTTATATTTCTTCATCTCCACCATTATGTGATGGATATTGGTGAGTTGAGTTCTAGTATTGGGGGTCAATAATTTGTGGAATCTATGATAATACTGCACTAGTTGTGTTAATGCCAACTGCAACAGACTGGAGCCCGTGACTAAGTTCGGAAAGGAAAGCAGCACTTCGCGATTCAATTCCTCCAGACTTTTCTTCCAATTAGCCGAGAAGTTTTGAACGATGGGTAAACTTTTCCCCTCATACTTCTTTATCTGCTCTTGATTGCCTTTTTCTATAAAATATTCGCACTCTTTGACGAATTGCATCATTTCACCAAAGTGCGGACTCAGAATTTCCTCCACGTACTCGGAACTTTTAGTAGAGAGCCTCGCCCTGAACGATTCCGCTTCTTTCGAATTATCTCTAGTTCTCTCCATTATAATATTTAAAATCATATCATAATTATTAATTAGATAAATCAACTGCTCTTTGCGTTGCGGAAATATTCCAGCCATCCGCAAAATAAACAGTTCTACCTCCTCCTGCAGTTCAGCCAAAAGTCTATTTACCAATTCATTTGGAAAATTCTCGCTGATTCCAACAAGCGCTGCACTGAACTCAGCATATCTTCGAGTTATCTACAAAACAGTTATTTATTTATTAAATACGTGGAAAGAAAAATATAATGACGTACATAATGTGGTCCCATTTCTCTACTAAACTTCGTTGGATCGCAATCCCTTATACTGTATATATTCAAGCGAAATACTTGCTCAAATCTCGGTAATATTATGGTTTGCAAAGATTCCCAATATTTATCTAAAGCAGGTACACATCTTTTGTGGCACATCAATTGATATCTTAATATCAAATGGAAACATAAGAAGAGAGCTATAGTGTCATAACAATCTGAAACAAAACTTTCCAAATTTTTCTACAACAACAACATTATTTACTATAATTTAAGTATATAGAGCAGTACTTACTGTTAACAGAGATAGAGTTTTTCCCATAATTTGATAAAAAAGGTCTAGTGCAACCTGGCCACGGACCATGAAGAATTCACTTACAAATAAATATTCACGACAGGCATTGTCAACTAAAGCATATTGCTCACTTCTAAATAATGATTCAAAGTGATACTAAAAAAAAGACAAACATTAACAAAAATTATAAAAACTTCTACAAACAAAATACTCTATTTTTTGATTGGGCATGTGGTACAATAATTGGAGCTTCTAGTTGTTGAGCCAAAACATCTCCTCTATTGCCAATAGTGAAAACAGTTCCTTTATGCTTCAAAGTAGTTTTATGAAATAGACCCCTAGTTGCAGTATCTTCAATCCCCATCAAATCATCTTTAGTAGTGCATTCCTCATACTGCAACTTCATTATCCTACCAGAATATGATTTAAAATATGAAAAGTATATTTTGCTCATTGTGTCCACATATTCATTGCATATTTCCTGAGCCACATTCCTCTCATTAGATAAAATAAACTCAAAAAAGAACTTGTATTTAAGCATAGCATTCTGGGGAACTTGGTAATTGGTCATGGGTTTTCTAAACTTAAAAACTTGCTCTAATAAATATGTCCTTATCTTGGCCATCGACTTTATTTTCAGCTTTTCTAAAATGTCTTTAACATCCATACATGATTTAGATTCTTTAAAGCTTTGCTCTTTCACAAAGTTAATTTTATGGTTCAACACTTGCAAATGGTTCAGAAATTCTTTGTCTGTCACTGGGCAATCCAATATTCCATTAATCAAAGTGTCTGAGACTACCATGTCATCAATAAACTGACTAAGCTGACCCCGTATACTTTGCCTATTACTCAACTCTTGACTCATAGACACAGATTTTCTTTGCAGAGATAATATCTCACTACTAATACTTCCCAAATCATTTTGGAAGCCCAGCAGCATCGATTCCATTCTCTCCAGAATTTGGTCACATGCAGAGATTTGATTGTGTAAACTTGCAATATTCTGGCTCTCCTTAATGTAATCTTGTATCGACTTATTTTCTACTTCCTTTAACTCTTTTTCAATCTCCCTGGAGTACTGCCGAAGATCTGTCCCAGTTTTAAGTATATCCTGCACCAATTCATCTTCAAGATTCTGTTGAAATTGAGTATCCGAATCATCCAACACCTTAATTTTACTCATTCTATAAAATTGGATTCACACGCCTATCATATGACAATATTGTTTTTATTTTACACGTCAAAACAAATAACTGACAGCTATGACAGTTTTTGACAGAAAGTGGTTATCGAGGTTATGTTTGATCTTATGAAGTTTGATTTGTGCGCTCTCTTCTTAATAATGATAACAGGCATAACAGGTTGCAAAGTGGAATAATATAATTCGATACTATTATTAAAATTATATTTAAATCAGTTTAATAATGCTCAATTCTTATGAGAAAACATATTTACATTTTAAGAGAAGTATCAATTATTTTATCCTTGAATATCACATAAATTTCTTCTATTGGTAATAGTGTTTCATTTCGGGCTTTTTTTGCTCATTTTCAAGAGAATTTTATCATGGCTGAAGCACTTGTGAACTTTTCTGATTGGTTAGGAAATAAATTAAAAGAATTGAACACTGATGAAAGTGTGTTCGGTTCTTACATTAGCGGAATATTGGATAGTGATGAAACGGCGGATGAAAAGAATGAAGCGTTACAAGGTATCCTCTCAGAAATCGTCGAAAATGTGAGTTCATTTAAAATCCTAATAAGGAACCTTCTCAAATTCCCCCAAATGAATTTAAATATAAATTTAAATGATTGCTAATTGCATTTTTATTGAACCAGGAAAATAATCTGAATGACTTATGTGCTGAAATATTGGATATGTGGTGTAAGCTGCAGACAAAGGAATCAGCTAGCTCTGTGAAAGATCCTTTAGAGGATGTTGATGTTAAATTGGCCAAATTAATGGAATCTCAATGTCTACAAACCACGAAGCAGAAGCAGTACACTGATGAGGAACGTAAAATTAGGGAGGCTATTCTTGCTCAATACAGTCAGATGACTGATGATGAAGAGGAAGAAGATGATGTATGTGTAAGTCCAGAAGCAGGTATGCAGAAAAATATGAATGCTCAAAATGTTGCTCAAGCTGAAAAAGAAAAGAGAGAAAATGCTAAGCAAGAGAGCCAGAAAAAGAAGGAAAAAGATAAAGAAGATAGGTATTAAATAGAAAACTATCTTAGTTCTTACAAAATTTTTAATTGATTTTCTAAATTTTAGGCAAAAACAAAAGCAACTTCAAGAAGATAAAAAAGAAAAGAGGAAGACTCAGAAAGGTGAACGCAGACGGTAGCAACGCTAATGATGATTTGATGTTTTGTTATATAAAAATAATTACATATTAATATATCTGTTAATACAAATGCTATGAATTTGGATTTAAATTTTTTTCTTTTTGTTTGAAATTTTATTTTATAAGAACTTAATACAATAAATGCCAGATAAAATTATTGTAGTTTGAATGTTTTCATAAGCAGGTAAAAAAATGCATACATTAAATTGATAAATGTATAATACAAGTTTGGTTTTGATGTAATGGCAGTACCAATTATGAAAGGTTTTACGATTTGTGCATACTAAATTTTCAAGTTTAGTGTACTTTAATGAATGAAATCAATATTTTCAGGAACTTTAAAAAGTACATATACCAGGAGTATTGCCCGTAGTATTTCCGTCCAAAAAATAACAGATTAAAAAGGATAAAAGGGCGGAGGTTTTAAATATTAACAATAATAATTCAAAAATATAAAAGAATGTAAATTATAATTAAAATGCAAAATTTACATAGAGGTATCGACTGAACTTTGGCCACAATCCATTGAATTTTTGAAATAAATAACCTTCAGTTATTGTTTAAAGAAAAAATTAGAAATAATAGTCAATTAAGGGAGAAAGGATTCTTTATTTTTATAAAGACGCGCATTATACATACAGTGACTGAAAAACTGTGTGCCGCGGCACTATGCTCGAATTATCATAATTTTGGATTTCGCTTTCGTGCTCATATTCTCAACTACTACAGCTATTAAATCTGTGTTTCCCTTTGGATCGTCGTACCTTTGCGAATTATTTTTCTTCACATTAACAGAAATTAAATCGAAAAACGATTACAAATGGATGAGGAGTTACGTGTTTATCAAATTTGGATCAGCGTTTTGACTTAATTCTTTTTCAAAATCAATTGCACCCTTGTCACTAATTAAATTATTATCTATATATTGTATGTTTGATAAAGTATATTTAATTTTGTTGAAATTAATTCCCTTGTCTAGTGTGCCGAAAGGTATAAAAGTTAACAGTAAGTGATATTATATAATAAAATTAGTTTATTAATAACAATAAATTAATTTTAATTTAGAATATTTCTTAATTTTAAGGTTTATTATGGATAAGTCAACAAAATCAAATAAAATAATAATAATTTATTGTTATTAATAATAAATAACAACAATTAATAATCTAATTGTATTATAGATTATTTCTTATTGTTTTACTTTATTATAAATAAGTCAATGCAATAACAATAATATATTGTTATTAACAATATATAATAACAATTAATAAACTAATAGTATTTTAGATTATTTTTTAGTGTTAAAGTTTATTATGAATATGTCTATTTCAAATAATATAAGATACTGTTAGGATTTTGCTTGTCATGATTTTGATACTGTCGAGATTTCGATAAAGACCCGGGAAACTACAGGAAAATATTTCAATACACATATTTTTTTCCACGACAAAGATTTCCAACGATTAACGCTTTTGTGACAATAACAATTTTATTGTATTCTTTGTTGAAAAACCCACTTTGATATTAGATAACTATAAAAAGATGTGTCATTGACACCTTAAAAAGTTATTTTTTAATATATTTACAAACATGTTTTTATTTTATGATTTCAAGAAAATGCAATAAGAAGTTACCGCAGTTCGGGATAACCGTGGTCGCGGCCGTCCTAGTATTTATTTTATAAGCTAAACAATAAAATTACAGATTGCATTGTAAAATGATTCAAAATGATTTTTTATATATCAATATAATATGCAAATAAAAGCGATGTTTGTATTAAGCGTGTTTTTCAATTATCCGTGCTCTAGAGTTCCCTAATTATAACGGAAAATCTGCGTTTTACTGTATGTATATGTGTATATGTTAGAACCTGTTTCTGATTATACATAAACAAAATGTTATGTGTTTGATTAGATAAAGAAACGCTACTAATTGTTTTGCTACAATTACAAAAAATGTTTGCATTTATTGCAGTGGTGAATACAATAGAAATATTGTTTTTAGAAAGACCTTTTTTAATTAGTATTTTTACGATCTTTAATTAAAAGTGTTTCTTCAAAAATGAGTTATAATTATAAATTATTCAATAAAATAATATGCAGTGCAGATGCTTCAAATTTTAATACATCTGTTTTTTTTGTTAACTATATAATTAATATATTTAATAATATTGACCATAGGTCTTTCTACCAAATTATTTATATTTTATTAAATGTAGTTTATTTAAAAACATGTTATAAATATTATCACTGAATAGTTTCTTTTACCGTCGTTTTTAATAAATGTTATGGCTTTACCCGTAGCATTCATGATCATTTTCAGGTAATAACTATCTTAGTTAATATATTCGGATGTTTAATTTGTTTTTTTTTGTATTAAACATAACTGATTATGGATGATGTTGTTTGAGTATACATGATTTAAATGGTTTAAAATCGCTGTTATAAATTAATATATTTTTATAAAGAGATTTATATCAATTATTTCAATAATAATAATCAAGGTCCTATTTCTACCCCCTTTCAGGTTTATAGGCCCCCACAGATTTTTGTTGGTTTTTGAGGATCGAACCAACGTTCTTTTGTATCGGATTTTCGTGATACAGGTGAAATTAATATTGCTAATCAATCAAGGTGAAATTTAAATTTCGCGGGTAGATTCGATGCGGCAGTCTTATGAAAAAGGAATAAGAAGAAGTAGAAGTGGGGGTTTCGGACAGGTTAATGTAGTTGCAATGTCGCCTAATAGATGGAAAAACAGCTGAAGGTCCAATGGCATAATGGAATGGATAATGAAAGAAATGGAAAAAGAAAGTTTGTTGTATCGTTGCTAGTGTCAAAATTGTGCTGGAGCGTTTGAGCTAGTGCGTGGAATTCGGGGCTGGACGGGTGGACGATAAACTTTGTGGTCGATGATTCGGTGATCGCGCTGGAAAAGTGACCGTGAAAAAGAAAGAGGAGGTGAAGAGAAGTGAAGTGAGTGAGACCCTCTTCGCCACACACACTCTAGATTCGTAACTAAAAATACTACTATGCAGGTTGTTCAACACTTAAATCATTAGTGATATGTCTGTCATTGGTTTCTCAAAATCACCGTTCCCAGTGCAAATCCGTAATTGTTATCAGAGACCAGTTTCTTCGAGCGGCCCGACCGCTGGTTATGTTGCATAAAAAATACATTACAGTGACTCTGCTGCTATCAATACGGAATGAAAGACGTGCTCCGGCAGCGATGAAAACTAAACTAAGCACCATTCTAAATTAATTATATATTCACCATTGTTGTGGATATATCATTTTCGTTTTTTTACTTTTTGTTTCTTGTTCGAGTGGGCCGCGCTGCAGCACCCAACCAAAATCCGGAGAGATGATGAAAAACGGGCCCATGGCCAGGAAAGAGGGCAAAATGAGGATCCGTGCCTTTCCTGTAAGTACACTACGTTTCCCCACACTCGCATACACACAACATCATCATCAAAATCAACATCATCACTATTCGCTACATATATTTGCTCCTTCCTTTTTCTCTGTTGTTTTTGGATATCATTTATATTTTCTATCACTCTATTTATAACATTGATATTTCCAATATACTCATTTCAGTGTCAGTCTTCTGAGTACATTGTCCTCTTATGTCAACCTCCAAAATACAAAGAACGACACGACCAGCAACAGAAAAAAAAACATAATACCCAATTAGTGATAATTTTTGAGTAATTCTAACCTCTTTTTGACATTGATACTATGAACAAAATCGGTGGTTTTGTTCGTTTCGCATGGTTTCAATGCGAAAATGCAACAACACAATGACATTTCAAAATATTATTTATTAATTTTGATTAAATCTTAATCAGAGCCCACGTACTATTATCTCTCAGTAGAAAAGCACTTGCAAGGTGCAAACCAAAATTTCTATTTTACCAAATCTACCTTTAGCATTTGTTTTTGTATTAAAATTTAAAAATGTTAAATATATATGGGTTAATAAATTGTTTCTCATCAAATACGCATTTCCTCTGTATTTATTGGGTTTTATTGTATTCAATTTATATATTTTTTTCTTGTTTATTATAAAAGTAAACTTAAAATGATTATTAGTATCTATATTTACATATATTGATTAATTAATAATAATAGGTTTTTGTTTCAAATGAGGCTATTGAAGGATATGTATTTTATTTTATTAGTTCGTATAGAACAAGGATAAAATGTTGGTTCACTTGTTGGTCTTTTATTTAAATATTGACAGAGTAATATAATTTTATGAAATGTTTAGATATTAGTATAATATTTTGTCTGCAACAGAGGTCTAGTGGTTATGTTATCGATTGGTCAATAAATATATGTAAACAAGATAAAAATGCAGAGTTTTGTAGAAGTAGCTATGAATGTGTAGTTTTTTTTTGCAAGCCCATTGATTATATTATTTTGTGATCATAGCAAAATCACTCCAGATCTGATTTACATCACGTTAGTACTTCTTTTACAAATTCGATTTATATTGATGAGATTCCCAGTATAATTAGATTACACAAAAATTTGAGACAGTTTTTGTTGAAAAATCGTATCGTTTGATGAATAGATTTATATTTTAGTTAGCATTCATTTGTTATATTTATTTACAGGAAATCTTACGTGTATAAAATGCAAGCTAAAATAAATGTATTTTTTCTTATTGAAAATTATCATAAATTTAATGATTTAGTGCAGGGGTCGGCAATGTGGTGCCCACAAAGCAATTTTAAAGTGTTCGTTGGGTTGGTCAAATAAAAAAATAGAATGTTTGGAAGTCGTCCCCCGCTCGCACATGAAATATTCTTCCTAGTCGAAAAGCTTGTTTAGTGTGTACTTCGGTACTTGTCGATAATTCGTTGTTGAACTTGCGTCTGGTGTCGAAATCGACTAGTACCAAACGAGTAAAGTATGTTATAGATATAAAAACTAATTAACATTCAAAATGCGACAAATACCGAATCTGATGAGTTTTGAAGCTGTAACGTTGTCTAATTATCTAGTAAATTTTTATTATTATTATTCAAAGTCGAAAAACCAAGTAACCAGGCACTGACAAAAAATAATTAAAAGTTCAAAAGGAAACGTCAAAAGCAAAATTTCTAGTATTTTTTGATTTTTACAAAGAGGCGGACCACTGAGTTAGGATTGTGTGCATGTGTGCCTTATTGTTTTAGTTTTTTCATAAATGGAAGTTCAAGGTCTGTGACGTGAATTGAGATTTTCCAATTTCGTGGTTTTCTCTCTGCGATCGGGACTACTTTTATGTATGAACAATATGCCATGAAAGCTAACTCTGGTGGTGGCCAATTTTCAGGATGGGGACCTCCCGGAGATTTGATCACAAATCCCACGGTACTACCGAATTTAAATCAAACTAAAGAGAACCAATCCAAACATCGAACGCATTTGGCCTTGTTATTGATATCGTTATTAACGTGTTACTTTTTGCTTGTTTGTTTATAGATGAATATGGATGAGAAGTATGTGGATAGCATATGGGCACATCTAAAAAATGCTATCCAGGAAATACAGAAAAAGAACAACTCAGGGCTTAGTTTCGAGGAACTGTACCGTAATGCTTATACAATGGTATTACACAAGCACGGAGAGAGGCTGTACACTGGTTTGAAGGAGGTCGTCACACAGCATTTGGAAACAAAAGTACGTACTTTATATAATCACAGAAATTGGAGTATACATTCGGATATTGAAATACGCATTAATTTCTAACGTTTGCAGGTCAGGGAAGACGTTTTGAAATCGCTCAACAATAATTTCCTAATGACTTTGAATCAAGCTTGGACCGACCATCAAACCTCAATGGTCATGATTCGTGATATCCTAATGTACATGGACCGTGTATATGTGCAGCAAAATGATGTTGATAATGTTTATAATTTGGGACTTATTATATATAGAGATCAGGTCACTACTTCGATCATCCAAATCGGAATGTAAGTTAAAATCAATGTCGATTTCAGGTTGTGAGATACGGATGCATTCGGGATCACCTAAGAGAAACCTTATTGAATATGGTGATGAGGGAGCGACGAGGGGAAAAAGTGGATCGTATATCAATCAAAAATGCTTGTCAAATGCTGATGGTGCTCGGAATTAACAAGCGAACAATCTACGAGGAAGATTTTGAAATGCCGTTCCTGCAACAATCTGCCGAATTTTATAAGGTAAATACCGTTGAATATTTATATTGAACAGTTTGCTATAATTTCTTCTTTTCAGGTGGAGAGCCAAAAATTTTTACAGGAAAATAGTGCATCTGTATATATAAAGAAAGTGGAGGCGCGAATAAACGAAGAGTCTGAGCGCGCGAAACATTACTTAGATGAATCGACAGAGTGTAGAATAGTTGAAGTAGTCGAGGAGGAATTAATTAAGAAGCATATGAAAACTATAGTTGAAGTAAGTATATTTTTCATAAACTTGTCACTTATTGTCTTTTTAATCACATCACTTTACAGATGGAAAATTCCGGAGTTGTTCATATGTTAAAGAACCAAAAAACAGAACATTTGGCTTGTATGTATAAACTTTTCGGAAGAGTGAACGACGGTTTGAAAACAATGGCTGATTGTGTATCTCACTATCTACGAGAACAAGGCAAGGCTCTCGTTCAAGAAGAGGAACATCAAACTTCCACAAATGCAATCACTTTCGTCCAATCATTATTAGATCTGAAAGATAGGTATGTAACTGAATCAATATCCATTATCTAAATGATTAATTTAAAAATTATTTTAGGTTTGACCATTTCCTGGTAAATTCATTCAACAATGACAAGATATTTAAGCAAATGATTGCATCTGATTTTGAACATTTTCTTAATTTAAATCCCAAGAGTCCTGAGTATCTCTCTTTATTTATCGATGATAAACTAAAGAAAGGCGTTAAAGGGGTAAGTAATTAATACTTGACCCAATTAAATAATGATAATGTTTTTTTAAATTTCAACTTTTTAGATGTCCGAACAAGATATAGAATTAGTCTTAGACAAATCTATGGTGCTTTTCCGATTTCTTCAAGAAAAAGACGTATTTGAAAGATATTATAAGCAACATTTGGCTAAGAGACTTTTGTTGAATAAATCTGTCAGCGACGATTGGGAAAAGAACATGATCTCAAAATTAAAGGTAAACTAATATGTTTTATAACTAAAAAGACTTGACTTTGCATAATTAATCATTTTTATTGCTATTTCTAATATCATTATGTGATACTTTAAATAATTAATTGAATTCCAAGTATTGATGTATGTAATTATTTTATGTATTTTTGCTTAAAAAGTAATATTTTGTTTCAAATTAATATTTTTTAAAACATTTCTATACATGTTTGATCATACTTGAACAAATTACCAAACATCTACTCTCAAATAATAGAAGTGTCTATTTATAACATTATACTCTGTATAAATTTAGTAGAATTACGTTGATTGCCAATATTATCACCTAAATGCCTATTTTTTTTATAGACGGAATGCGGATGCCAGTTCACCTCGAAGTTGGAGGGCATGTTCAAGGACATGACCGTATCTAACACTATAATGGACGAGTTCAAGGAGCACGTTTTGAAAAACGAAACATATTTAGGTGGAGTAGATCTATTCATGCGGGTGTTGACCACTGGTTTCTGGCCGACGCAAAGTTCAACGCCCAAGTGCCACATACCTGCCATTCCTCAGGCTGCCTTTGAGTCCTTCCGTAGGTCAGTAATAATGTTTATGAGAATATAAAAACGGAGTTGCTTTACGTTGGAGGAAACTGTTTTAGGTTTTATTTAGGTAAACATAGTGGTAGACAGTTGACGCTGCAACCGCAATTAGGAAATGCCGATCTCAACGCGGTCTTCTATGGAGCGAAGAAGGAAGACACCGAGAAGGACGGGGCGTGTTCATCGTCGACTACCATCTCTACCAGTCGCACGGGTCCCAGGAAGCATATAATCCAGGTGTCGACATACCAAATGGTGGTCTTGATGCTGTTCAATAATCATGACAAATTGACCTATGAGGAGATTCAGAACGAAACGGATATTCCGGAGCGGGATTTGATCAGAGCCCTCCAATCGCTCGCCATGGGCAAGGCGACACAACGAATCCTTATTAAGAATCCGAAAACCAAGGATATCGAGCCCGTGCACGAGTTCTTCATCAACGATTCGTTTACGTCCAAATTGCACAGGGTTAAGATCCAGACGGTGGCTGCGAAAGGAGAAAGCGAACCCGAACGGAGGGAAACTAGGAATAAGGTGGACGAGGATAGGAAGCACGAGATTGAGGCAGCTATAGTGCGCATAATGAAATCTCGGAAACGGATGGCGCACAATATTCTAGTGGCTGAGGTTACAGAACAGTTGAAGAGTAGATTTTTACCATCACCGGTAATAATTAAAAAGCGTATAGAAGGTCTTATTGAACGCGAGTACTTGGCTCGTACTCCCGAGGACCGAAAAGTGTACACATACGTTGCATAAGGTGATTCATATTTTTTTTTAAATATTAATTTAGTGTTATTTTTTAATACGATCCCTCCCGAAACAATGAAAATATTTCTACCGGCCACGCCCCCCTCCCCCAATTTCAACCTGATAATGAAAGCAGTGCTTATTACGTTTTAATAATTATTTAATAATGCACATCTTCAGGCTTTATTCTAATAGTGATACAACCCCTTTCTCTCTTATTCTATACTCTACCACCTGTGTGTAACTAAAATATTAAAAAGAAAGCCCTAAGCGCTATCGAGAGAACATATAAAACTGTTATTAAACGAAATTTATTCTTATTGCAGCATGCGTATATTCATTTTCTCTTTGTGTTTTCTTTCTTACTATTATTTTGTTTAATATTTTCTCAGCCAGTCTGTATCGATATTATTAAGGTTAATTTAAAGATCCCCCAATCTTCCCTTTATTGAATTATGTAATGCCAGAATTCCCCTATCCCTTATTCACAAACAATATCACTGTACATTTTTGAATATTGAATCAAAATCGATTACAAAAAAGGTAATATATTTTTATACACCCCCACAATAATTATCTCTTTTTTCCTCATATTTGATTGTGTGAATGTATATTGTATAATCAAAACTTTTTTTTGTTTAAAATTCAACTAATTCAATATTTAATTGAATTCTGTTTTATGTATAGTTTTCTGTATTCCTCTCTAGAATCAACATTTACTTACTATAAATGTTCCCAACTCAATTAATTAAAGAGAAAAAGAAGCTAATTCACGGATAAACATTAACGTGGTGTGTAATATTCTATAAATGATCATTGAATGAAACACTCAAACGAAACGTGTTGAAATTGAATTTATTTTCGCGGAATTTTAACATTGTATTTTGTGAAAAAGAAATGGAAAGGAAAATAGTTGTAAATAAATTAAAGTGAGTTAATGATTAATTCTTAATTGTTAGATTATTTACTTATACTTGTATCTATATTTTTTACAATACTGATAATTTTATCTTTATGAGAGAATATTTTATAGCCTTAATTTTATCGATATAAATTAATTTCAAATAAAAGAGAACAATAATTTATATAATGTGAAATCATTGCTAGTTTGTATTCATTGTTTCAAATTATTTTTAACATTGTAACTGTCTTAGCTCTATAGCTTTTGAAAAAATATTATGTAAATACTTAAAGTAACCGATAATTGCAGACTAATCGCATGTGACTTATAAAACGGAAAGAAAATATATATGAAGTATATTTGTTTTTTATTTTTAGTTTCAATAAATACAAAAAAAAAGATTTAAATTCACTGTTAATTTGGTTGCATAGTGTATCTCGCTTTTCCATTGTTAGAATGAATTTGAAATTATGACTTGCTGCATATCGTTTACTCTCTGTTAAAGCTCTATATTTTATAAGTATTAAAATTTCATAAACATGGAATTGCTTTGAAAATAACAAATTTTGTTTGAAATAAATTAAAAAGAAATTTATTAGCAATGAAATATAAGTAACATACAAATCAATTACTGATACCACAATATTTTTTTAATTAAAAGTATTTTTAGAATACAAAATATGTGAAATTATAAAGAAATATAAATAGTTTAAGATGAAGTGTCCATTGTATATGGAGTCACTGTCTCTTCTGTGACTTCGATTTTATATTCTTGTGTTTTGTTGGGAAAGATAGCAGTTGTACCCTTGGGATACTTGTACGAAGCTTGTCTGATGCCCTTCTTATTAGCTTCATCATAAGTTCTGAGATAATCAACTTTATCCTTACGAATGACGCATAAATCAACATTAGAACCAGATCCTAAATCATTGAAAATACCAGCAGCAATGGCATCTCTGACCAGTTTTTTACCAGCTTCCTCATCCATGTTGGGTACCCAGCGTGATTCAAACACTGCCATTGCAGCTAATGATCCAGAACCCATAGTAGTATAAGGCAATTTATCAGTTGATCCATGGGGATAAATGCTAAATAGATGAGGTCCAGAGCTATCAACACCTCCCAAAACAAGAGCAGCACCAATATGTCCTTGATAACGGAACAAATACTGCTTCAACATTTGATTGGCTGTGCATACTGGCACAACACGTCCAGTGTACAAACGATGGAGTTCCAATTGTGAAGAAATCATTTGAGTTGTCATCTCTGTATCTGCAGCAGTTCCAGCACCACAGCAACTAAAAAGTAATACATATTATGTTACATTTCACAGAACTATTGAACATTAAAATTTCAATACTATTACTTACTACATATTGGGTGCCAAATAATGAATCTTTTGGCAATTCTTATCAGACACAGTGGTATCTTCAGTGGCCCTTGTATCGGCTCCAAGAATTACTCCATCCTTGTAGATTATGCCCACAATTGTTGTACCAGTTTTTGTAGCTTTAGGGGTTGGAAAACCCTTTGCTGCTAGTGTAGCATTACTACAGGAAAAAGAGGTTATGTTAATGACACAACAAATTCAATAAGAAATATTCTATACTGACCGTTTACAATTCTCAAAAGAAAATCCAGGGGTTGGAATTTCTGGGCACAATGCACTAGACATGATAATAATATTTTATATACGGTATTTGTCGAAGTCCGGTAGATCGAAACCTAGATGACTTTTAATTTAATAACAACTTGTAACAACTTAAGCAAACTTCAATAGTAATTTGCAGGTCTACCAACATAGATAAAAAAAACCAGAACAGATTTCGTCACCTCGCTGTTTTCCATTCGGTGGCAATCGCAACTCCGACAACCGAAATCTCGTCTATTGAAATCCCGATGTTCGAAATCCCGACGTTCGGAATCCCGAGTGTATCGAAATCCCGACTACCATAATCCCGACAATCAAAATCCCGAATATATCGAAATCCCGATAGTGTCTTTTATTCTTATAATTTCTACAATAACATTTTTAAATTATTGTACTATATTTTAGTAGGTACGACGGATACTGAAAAAAATATTTTTGTGCTCTTTTGCACGATTATTAATTGTTGTTATTTATTCTTAATAACAATAAATAATATTAATTATTATTGTATATTTTCTTTTCGTTTTAGATTTTCGGGATTTCGATATAGTCGGGATTTTGATTGTCGGGATTATGGTAGTCGGGATTTCGATACACTCGGGATTTCGAACGTCGGGATTTCAATACACTCGGGATTTCGAACGTCGGGATTTCGATAAACGGGATTTCGGTTGTCGGGCCACTGATTCCATTCATTCCATTTAATAAAACAAATCACAACTACATAACCGATCCGAGGTTCAACTATTTTGTTCCTCTGTTTAGTGTCGCCAGAACCCCGGCTCGAAATGTTTATGTTTCAACTTAGGCCACACGCACTCCGGGGAGACAGGTCGAGACTTTCCAGGGTCTTATTTACTGGTTTTGCAGAGGTTTCGACCTGACACTCACCACTGCTTAATCATTGTAGATAATAAGTGATCCTACCGATATGTGAAGACAGTGGTCGACAGGACCCAGCTAAATGTGAAGGGGTTTCAAGAAGGAGACTCATTACTCGAAGAAGATGATTGCAGGCATTGCAAGTTCAAAACTCAACAAAACATCATGCGCAAATGAAACTCCAGTTTCAGTCATAAAATGAATCATAATATAATTTTAATGGTCGCCTGTATCACAAAAAACTGATACAGGCGTTGGTCGTTGGTTCGATTCCCAAAAACCAACAAAAATTTGAGGTGGCTGTTAAACCCGAAAGGGGTAGAAATAGTGCCGAAAGAGATTTATATCAATAAATAAAATGATATAAATCTCTTTGCATTAAAAAAATATAATTTTATAAAAAATATATTTTAAATTTGTTGCAAATTTGAGTAAACAAAATACAATAAGTACAATATCTAAAATATACGTATATCAAAATAGAGTTTTAAAATATTATAAGTTATGACTAATTTTTATGTACAATAAAATCCCAAGTATCCTTCAATCGTAAATCTAAAATATCTTCAGTACTTAAGTCAGTCATGCCATAGCTTAAAACAGTAAACTTCTTAAATATGTAGCATACACTGCACAACCAGATTGATAAAAGAATGGAAGCACAGTACAGCAGAAGTTTAATTTTTAAAACATCAGTTAACAGTATTAAAATATGCTCAATCAAAGCAGCCATAAGCAGCACTTTAAAAACAAACGCAGGTAAATAGTGGTGTAGGAACAAAGTTCTTTCCACGAAAAAATAAGGCAAGTAATGGAATAAGTAACCCACGAAGAAGATTTCCCCGATAAAAATAAATCTGTTCCATGTATGTTCGTCCAAATCAAAGCAATAGCGTCGTCTTCTTAATAAATAAAATGTATATAATGCAAAGTAAACGGCAAGGCTTACAGTCGATGAATACCAAATGACAATATTGCCAAGAAGATGGATTTGGGCCTGAAACATTTATATAAATATTTAAAAATTATGAAGAACTTTCAATTTTAAAATATCTTACGTTGCTCGTATTTGAAACGAAATATGCTATGCCTCGAGACATGAGAGGCCATTCAATTGGTTCAGAGCTATACATGTGATTCTGGACACCGTCGCTACTTGAAAACATCATTTTATAATGCAATTCATATAATTTATCCCAGAAAGATAAGTGAGTTACAGCTGTTGGAATCATTTCTGCATTTACTAAATCACGCTCCCTTTCCTTTTGATCTTCAGCTAAAAAAAATAGACAGATATTATTAAAAAAAACTAACATATATTAGATTATTACATTTAGTATATCGGTGCTCTTCAACATTCCAAATTGTATCATCTTGAGAGATAATTCTATCTGCAACTACTTCGTGCTGATGGAATCCCCAATCCGGTAATTGTTTACCACTAAATTTTAGTGCTTGATTCGTATCTACGTGTATCAAGCGAACTAAACTTTGAATTGTATGCCATTTATCCCCAAACTGATCTCTATTTATAATATTGACTTTCCACATGTTTTGTGCTGGCATAGAAATATTGTAGTCAATATAGCAAGATATTTCCTGACATTGCGGGGACATCGGGGCTCCGACATCATGGGAATTTAAAGCCCTTGATGTTATTCCATGTACAAGTTGAACAACGTCACCATGTTTAATAACGTCGACAGGTTGTTCAACAACTAAATCATTCTTTCCCGGTCTCTTGACAATCCACCAGTTGTTAACGTCTTTAAATGAATAGCAGGACACTTGCTGCTGATGACTAGAGCCTCTTTTGTCAGGATAGCGGACAGGATAAACGTGCTGATGAGAATGTAACCAGCAAGTTCTTCCGTGAGTATGTCTGCAACAAATATACAATTACAATTTATTTCACTGAATTTTTTTTATCATATATACCTTAGAGTAATTTGAGATCCATGAGAGATATGTAAAGGTTGTCCTTTTGTTATTGATGCTAAGCCTCCTTCCAATGAAGCCTGAAAGGCACTCGTCATAATACTATCGTGAGGTCCCGCTTTGTATAAAACTTTCAAGTGTACAAAGAAAATTCCTAAATATACCAAAGCTGGTATAATAATGATAACAAGTGCTTGAATTGTAAACCTAGTTAACAATTTTCTATCAGAGTATTGTTTGCTGCCGAGGATTTTCCAAAAATCTCTAGCGATAATTGCCAAGCCTAAACAACATGAATAGAAACCCACATACTTGATGCAAAGGGCACAAGTTAAACTTATCGCTGCTAGAATTAACCACGTAAACCATTTTAGACTGTACAAGTCTAGTTTTCTAAATTTCAAGATGCATAGTATTCCAAACAAGGAGAAAAACAAGAGCATCGATTCCATGAGAATGAACCTGCTTTGTGTTAGTATTGCGTTATCTAACAGTAAAAGGACGCTTGCTAGAATGCAAGTAGTCTGTTTCAAACCTAGTTCTAACATTAAATGATAGGCAGTGGGAATCAGCAAACTTCCGAAAAGAGCAGGCATGAAGCGCAAAGCGAATAGAGGTACACCATCTGAGTAGGAGCTTCCGATGCGCTCGAACTTAAACTTGCCATCATATCCAACGAAGTAAGCCAGTCCAGCGATGAGCTGTTTTCCAAGTGGTGGATGTGTATCGAAAAAGAACGTGTTCTTCATGTACAACGAGATGTACTTTCCATAATGCAATTCGTCGAATCTGGAAATAAGTCATAATTAAACATAGTCATCACGGATCAACACAATGTGTTTTTGTTTCAAACATTGAAAAATGTCATAAGTGGGGAATCGTTTTTAATATTTTTGTAACTTTTTACAAAGTCTTTTTATCTGGGTTTTAATTGGATAGAATGGGGAAACATCGCAGTAGAAGTGGATGCGGCAAGAAGAAGAAATGTCACAGATCTGGAAAGGTGACCAGAAATCCATTTCTAAATTTCCTGCGTCAATTTCGTCGTCAGCATTGTGGATGGAGCGTGGTCAAGATAGCAGTGGAAGGTGCAAGGGTTTGGTGCAAGATGGGAAAGCATGAGAAGGAAAAGTATAGACGAGAAGCGAGTTGTGCACCTAAAACTAAATACAAAAGACGTAAAAGTCGGTGCGGATCCAAGCACGGTCGAAAACGCTCGAGAAGTCGTCGTTCTAGGAGATCAAAGCGCTCAGGCGGATGTCGCAGATGAAAATACCATTCGTTTAAAAATTTTAAATTTCAATTTGTAGTCCTTGTCAATAATATAATATTAACAAAAATATAAATATATTTATTTATTCACACACTTATTATCATGTATAATACATTTTAATGTCCTTCCTTCCTTGTTTGAGCGACGACATACAGAAAACGTTTAAACAGACGTTGAAAGAAGCCATCTGATCGACACTTATCAACTGTTTTCGTTGAACATCTACAAGAGCACATATTTTTTTTTAAATTCTTAGCCCTTCTTCGCCTTCTTTTGCTTCTAATCCTTTTTTTGTAGGAAATTTTCGGGGCGCCGCAAGCTTCCTGTCTGTATCTTGCTTTTTCGGGTTCCGGTAAGCGGTGCCAAACTTTAGCACCTTCTACTGCAACTTGGACAACCTTCCAATCGCAGTGCTCCGTTCGGTACTGCCTCAAGAAGTTCAAAAAAGGATTCCTAGTCACTTTACCCACATTGTTGGAGTTTTTCTCACTGATTGGTGGACAAACTGAACTTTCTTTACTCATTTTTGTTACAATTTATCATTAAATATACGTTAAATTTTATGTGCATAATTTAAAAATTAATATTTCATTGACGTTGCGTCAACATTTTAAATGCCAATAGGAAAAAAGACAATGTTTGTAATTCATAAATATGAATTATAGGCAACTTAATTTGCAGAGAGAATAAGTAATATTTAAAAAAATAGTTTAGTATAATGCATGTAATGCAGATATTACCACATCATTTATAAAGGAAATAATCCAATTGAAGCTAACTGCGATGTTTATATAGCGATAAAAATTGTTATAAAAACTTACACTATGTTTTTAGGATCATCCAATCTGTACATGCGTGTGAATGCTGCGGATGCGAAAAGGACGATGGACACTAAATCTATTTGAAAATTTATATTGAACAATCCTTTTCTGTTGTCATTTTCATCCCTGTTGCACTTGTGCTCGTTGCCACGGTTATTATCATTCTTCATGACAACAACCTTCTTTTTGCGGTCATCTTTGTCAGCTGTTTTCGCATGCTCGCTCACATCTTCGATATTCTCGATCTTATTACTGGAAACCTTTTCCATTTTCTCACAAAACAACTAATTCATGAAATGCACATCCTAACGCAAATTTGAAACGTATACAACGATGGGTTCTTGGGTCAGTTTCCAGCATTTGACACTGATTTGGTGGGGAAACAACTAACGGTACTTTCTCCAAGCCCATTCCACGTACATAAATTACCTTTTAAAGCATTTTTACATATAAAGACGCTAAGAGCATTTTTCTTTTTAGCGTAGATTAATAATATTTGAATAAAGAATTGTTGCTGGTTTAGAATTAAATATAGCAACATATAGTGCCATCTGTCGGTCATAAATCTGATCTTCGAGGAAAGGTATGGATTTTTAAAATGTTATGTATTTTTTTTAATTGCTTGTTTAATTACATTCATTTCTATTTAAAACAACGTTTTTATGATTTATAATTCTATAAAAAAATGTTGTTTTGTTGTTTGGATGAGATTATATGTAAAAAAATAAATAATGTTTTTTGTGTGTGTACGAGATTTAACAATTTAATTAATTATTGAACTGAGTTGACTTAATTTTATATGGTTTTTAACGTCCTTGTCTTCAGGAATTTCACTTTTTTGTTCCGGTAAGAATCGATGCACCACCGGAGATAGAAGGTCTTTGTGGATTAATCTGTTCTTGTTGCAGCCTGTTAAGTAGCTCACTAAAATTCCTATGATTATCGCAACGATGGCCCCCAAAGCTGTGTAGTACATGTACGAGAGTTGATAAAGGAAAAAAGGTTCTTCGGTTATCTTGGAACTGCTTCCTTCATTTATTACGGCGGAAGACAAATATTCGGCTATCCAATTCGCATTGCAACCTTCGACTGAAACCGGTTTTTGGGGAAATATAATTTCTTTGTTGGCCATTTTCAATTGGGTCCCAATAGAAATCCACCCGACGAGCGTTCCGCTCAAAATTCCACCGGCCAAGGCACCCTGCAATACAAATTGGAATGAACAGTTTGACATTGATATTGCAAGATTCAAAGGAATAATAATACCTTTGGATTCGCAAATGGGAAGAACATTCCCAAAGTGAAAATACCCAAAAGTGGACCCGCTGTTATTGCAGCTAAACTTCCGGATGCTTGAATTAATGCTCCCATTTTTTCCACTAAAAACACTAAACCCACGCAAATACTTCCTATTAGGACCACTATTACTTTCATCAAGAAGCTAGCGTGCGATTCCGACAAAGGTTTTTTGATGTGCGGCTTAATTAAATCCTCGAAAATGACACCAGTCATTGAATTCAAACCAGTCGACATTGAGCTGTAAACAGATATGTTATAAAATTGTACAAATTAATTATAATTAAGTGTTTACCTTAGAGCTGCACTGAACACCCCACTGACAAATAAACCGGGTAGTCCAGGAACAGCTCCAGCAATCTTCATAACGAAATACGGAAGAAGTTGATCTGATTTAGCTATGGAACCTCGAGTTATTGGATCACATTTATGATAGGACGCAAATATTAGCAATCCCATGTAGCAGCACATCGAGGCCAAAATCATAATTCCAATGACTAAAATACCGATAGTACTGAAACAAGTTATAATGTTAGATATTTTATTGTTACTAGTGTTATTACTAACACTCTAGCTGACGCTAACGATGGCATGGCTAAACATCTCTGAACCATTGCTTGATTTATGGAGCAGCTGGCCAACCAACCAAAGTAATTTCCAATAGAAACCGTCCAGAAAGAATGTCTGATTGTCGGATCCCAATCTAAACTAAACGCTACAATGAATACACTTCGCTTTTGCAAAATTTATTTTTTTTATTTACTTAAAGAACTCCAACCGGCCACCTGCATCGTTCCTGCTCCAAACTTCTTCAAATCCACCAATGCTTATGTTTCCCATAATGATCACAACAATTAATGCACCGAACATGACGACTGTTTGAATGGTGTCTGTCCACACAACTGCTTTCAGTCCACCCTAAAGAAAGTACTTCTATAAAACATGTATGTCGATACACATCCAGTGAAAAAAAGTTTCAGATCACGAATGGTGATCCTAAATATCGGGCCCAAAAGGACAAACACAAACATTGTTAAAACAGCGGGACCGCCTTGCATCAGCTTTGGGCACAGAAGTAAAAGGATGGGAACCAAGACCGATAATACGGAGGACCAAAGTATCAACATGAACATAGATAATTCTTCTTCGGTGAATATCTTTCCTATTGGCCGCTCGAACGCTTCTTCGGCTTCTTCCTCCGTTTGATCTATTTCTTCAATTTTATCCATGATTTTATTTATGTGTGTTGTTTATATACTGATAAATTTTGATGCAAATCTTATTTGAAATTTGTCAATTTATGAATGCAAAGCTAACTATAAATAAAATTTTACTTCAACTTACCAACGTTGTGTAGAAAATACAAACGATGCATACAATGGGCGTTATTAAATGAAGATTAATTCCTGTAACTGAATGAAACTGTAATATTTAATAAAGTTCTAGTAGTGATTGTTTACCTTGACTAAAAGCCAGCGCGGGCACGTAGATAACAATTGGAATATAAAGTAACATTTTGAGAAGGAAAAGTGTAGATCCTAGTAATCTTACAGTTTGATTGAATCGTAAGTTCAGATACTGCAATGAAAATAGATGTAATAATAAAATAAATTAATACAAGTAATTGACAAAGATTACTTCGTAACTGGAGGTAATTTGTAGTGTGTAGAATACGGGCAAATAGGCGACGGCCATTGTAATTGAAACAAGACATTCGGATGTTATTATCATCCAAAATTGGGTGCCGTAGGTGTACATTTCCGCCGGAATACCCAAAATGCTAATACCTGAAATATAACTGAAAGCAAACATAAATTAACACAAATTGGATCGTTTATAAGGCTATTTCAATAATAAACAATTATTTAGTTATGCGTAAAAGATGTAAAAAATGTCGGGGTCGCGACTATGGGTAAGGTTAATTATACAATTTATAAAGACAAAATACAAAAAAAAGTATTTTTTTATTAATAATAAATTATAATAATATTTATTGAAGCAGTCACATAATAATAAAGGAGAAATAATTAACTGTTAACAATTTTAATGAAAAGTTAAGAAATATAATAGCAAATGTATTAAATCATTGTTGGTACTTGGAAATTATATTAACAGACAAAATATGCTTATATGCAAGAAGCTCTAAAACTAATTCAACTTGAAAATTTAACCACAGCTTTAAGTATATTATTAATATTATCAGTACCTGTTGCAGGTGGTAAACAGAAGAACGTTATGTTATTAATAGAATACCAATTTTCTAGCAAAAAAAATAGAAAAAATAAATAAACATAATACCAACTGTTATATACAAAATTTGCTATTTAGTCACCTGAAAATAATATTTTTCAAATATACAATAAATATATGATAGAAATACTGTTAAACAAAATATTTTGATAGGAATTTGTTTGAATGTGTTTTTGTTTATTTTTGCATGTTTGTATGTTGGCTACATGTGTAAACAAATATAAATCGAAAACAAAAGAATTATTGCATTTGTTATTGCTAGTATTTGTAAACAGTTAAAGAAATGTCGAGTTACAAAAAGTTTATCGAAAGAAAAAACAAGGAAGAGGAGGAGACGGCTCACGCCTTTCAAGAGTTTATAGACACTTTCCAGAATGCAAATCCAACGTCAAAAACGTTTATCAAATCGGGTATATACAACCCTGGCTCGTCACGGCAGACCGATGACGAAAAAGGTAAATTTTATAATCCTTTACCAATAGTCAAGGGCGGTTCATACGAATCTCACAGGAAGGCGATGGAATGCGCGAGACTGGTGAAAGACAATAGATTCGATAAAGGAAAAACGTTCAAACCCAAATCGAATTTAGAACTTTTGAAAGAGGAACTCAGGCTGCGCCATCTCGACCGCGATTGCCGTCAAAGAGTGTCCAGTAGGAACACCGATTCGCATTTGGAGACGATCGATACAACGACTAATCTGTTTTTGACAAATTTAAATCCGAAATTGGTGGAACAGGATTTAATGCATATGTTTGGTATTTACGGTCCCTTGGCTAGTGTGAAAATAATGTGGCCGAGATCGGACGAGCGCACCAGAAGTACAAACATTGGGTTTGTTGCTTATATGAGCAGGAAGGACAGCGAACGAGCATTCAATTTATTAGGAAATCGCGATGATATGAGAGTGTCATGGGGGAAGCCTATAGAGATTCCGTCGCAACCAGTATATATTCCACCCGAGTTAGTTAAAATGATGCTCCCACCTCCTTATAGCGGGTTGCCATTCAACGCTCAACCCATGACCAAAACATTCACTTTTCCCGACAACGATAATCAAATGCATGCATTGTTAGGGTCTTCTATTGTGAAAGTAACAATTCCATTGGACAAGAAGATGCTGATGAACATACACAGAGTAATCGAGTTCGTGATTCGAGAGGGTCCGATGTTTGAAGCTATAATTATGCACAAGGAAATGAACAATCCCAGCTTTCAATTTCTCTTTGATAACAAATCGTCGCAGCACATTTACTATCGGTGGAAGCTGTTTTCATTAATGAACGGTGAAGGAATTTCCAGCTGGTCGTCACGTCCCTTCAGAATGTTCAAAGGGGGCTCAATTTGGATTCCGCCAACTATTCCCGATTATACTAGAGGAATGATCGACAAACCAAAAGCAGACTTTCAAAATCTCTCAGACAATCAGCAGTTCAGATTTATACAGATTATAAAACAATTAAATTTAAGCAAAGCAAAAATTGCAGAAGCCACCGTGTTTTGTCTGAAGCATTCTGAAGCGTGCAGAGATATTGTAAATATTCTTTGTGAATCTTTTGATAACTCGCTAACTAGTGCGGTCAAAAAAACAGCACGTCTATACTTAGTTTCCGATTTATTGTACAACACAAAGTTAAAACGAGGAATATTGAAAGGTTTCAACGATTTACTCCAAGCTAAACTAGTGAAAATATTTGAGCACCTCGAGATAACTTTAAGAACGACAGCATACAAAGATAACTTTAAAAGTAGGGTCATGAAAGTTTTAAGAGCGTGGGAGATGTGGAGAGTTTATCCCAACGACTTTTTAGATAAATTAGATGCTACTTTCATTGGAGAAAACTTTGATGATTCTGGGGATGAACCTCTTGATGGTAAAATTCTTTTAACGCGATCTATGAATTGCCCTATGCAACCGGAAGTAACAGTGGTGATGAAGAAGGAAGAAGTAACATTGGACAACTTTGTGCCAGCCAAATGGGAAACACTGGATCCCTTGGAAATTGAATCGCAAGCTATGTCTGCTAAAAAGATATTTGACATAGAAAGCGCTCGACTAGAAGCTGAAAGGCAACAGCGGGATTATGAAAAACTTAGACGGATAGAGTTAAAAGTGCTCAAGTACCAAGATGATCTTGAAAGCGGTAAAAGAAAGTTGAAGAAACGGAGGAGTATAGATGAGGAGGTCAATGAATACAGGAGGAGAAGTGTAGAAAAGCTGAAAAGAACTTTAGAGACTAGTCCCATAAGTTCGGACTCTTTTTCCTCTGATGATTCCATCGAAAAGAGGAGCAAGCGAAAGAGACGAGAAAAGAAGAGGCGTTATTGAAGTAACTTACCTAGCAATTAAAGACATAGATATAGGAAATATGCCCATAGTTTTGCTGCCCATCAGATATTCGCTGGTCGTGTTTTGCTTGACTTTTGCAAAGAACGCAAAGTAAACGCCGATCAGCGCAGAGATGAGAAGCATCGCCGCAAAAACAATGTAATCGAAAACATCGAAATACTTTTCCACCTGTTCTGGATCCATCTCGCAGCACTTCCAGTTTAACACTAAAAATAAGAATCATTTCTTTGGATCCCTATTGTGAATGTGTATAGTACAATAGGCAATTTAATGTGCGCATATTAGTCGCAATTGAAAAATTGGGTGCTCGTGTAGACTGTTAAAGGCGAAATTATATAACTGGGTTATTTATAAATATCCTCAAGCTAAAACTAATTACTCTTCAAAACGAATCATTGCAACCAATTAACAAACTATAATAAAATTAATTCGTATTATCATGATAATATTAGTTGTTCAACTATGCAGTTCATTCTAAATGATTTATGTCAGTTTAAGTAAGTCCTATATACCTATTGTTGAAATGAAAATAAAATTTTGTATAATCAAACGATGTAGTATTTTATTTCTAAACAACCCAATAAACATTTAATTAAGTTAAATAAGTGCATAGTTTCGGGCGGAAAGATCTCGGTTGATAGCCCTTTGGCCAGCCTATTAATATTTGTTTTTATTTTATGTTCAAATTTATTTATAGAATGTACTTTTTTTAAATTTTGTATTGATGTCTGGCCAATAAATTATTTTTATTATTATTAAGCGCATATTTTGAACAAATTTATACTTTACTCTAGATCAGCGGTTTCCAACCTTTATGCTACTACGCCTCCCCGAAAAAACATTTTTTTCGCGCCTTCCTTACCATTTTTGTTAAATAGATTAAATAATATAGACACGTTTTATTTATTTCAAGATATTATGGTATAAAAATTAATTTATTAAAAAATTTTGGCGCCTCCCCTGGCAATAGTCCGCGCCTCCCCGGTTGGAAACCGCTGGTCTAGATGAAAGTAAAATAAGGCAAAATCGAATTAATGATTTTGCTTAAAATGTTAAAAAGTTAAACGGCAAAACATAAATATTCAATTGACTATAGATTATATTTAACATAAAATTAATGCTTTATCTGTCCACTGTAATATTAACATATAGAGCGTAACCTCACATAGTGCGGCTTCGATTAATGCGGATTCATTAAAGTATGGTTTGAAAATTTCAAAACAAACTAAATATTAATTGAACAAAATAAAGATATATTCTAAACAAAATAAAGAAATATTTATAAAGTGTAAGACAAATAATATAGAGGAAAATAGAGAAATTACAAGGATCAGTTCATCCACTAACCAAATTTTAGATTTTAACGAAGGAGACGAGTGTCAATGAATCTAGATCGTTGAAAATGCGTGATGAGCGTTGTATATTTAGAAGGAAATTATTTATGTGAAATTAAATTAAAAATTAAATTAATTAATATGTTAGAATGGGAATATAATGAAAAAAATCACAGTGAGGATTATGGACAAAAAGACATTCCATTAATTTATAAACCTACGAGGGAAAGCGTTCAACTGTCACATCAAGCAGTTCAACTTAGGTTTGGGTAAGCGGAATAACATTTATTATATAATAATAAAAGTCATCATTTCCATACTTTTTGTTTATATTCATCATTTTTTACACTTATTTAGCTGAAAATATAGAAAGGATGTTAAAGGAATTAAATAAATAAATATATTTTTAAGGGAACACTATTTATTTAACTGAAATAAATGGACAAGTAAATAAAACCAGAGTAATCAATGTAAAAAGAAATCAAGTGTACCAAATATTAGTGGATTAAATGTATATATAATATATAATAATATATATAGTGATAAAACATAATAAGCTTACAAAGAAACTATATAAATCTATAGAAATAAAAAATAGAACAGAGGAAGGAAAAAGTAATCAAGAAAATATAATATAACAAAGACAAAAAAATGAAATTAAATGAAAATAGAAATATGCCATTATTACAATACTTATACACCAAACTCATGTTTTTTTTTTCATTTTAAACTGCAAGCACATATACTTATTTTTAAATATTGTAAACATCTTATTTTTTTAAAATTATTTTTCCTTAAAAAAATTCTAGTCAATTTTAAAAACGGCCTTTTATCCTTATCAACACCATATATCATTAAATTTACATTCTAAAAATGAAAACGAGAAATGCATGAATTACTATTATTTCCTATCAATAAACAATTAATAAAATGAAAAGAGTTCAACAAAGTAATGACAACAAAAGTGACAAAAAAATGATTCAAAACTAAAAGTAAGTCCAATTTATATAGCGATTCTTCTTTAAATATAAACGTCCTGAGCTATATACCTGAGAAAAAACACCTTCCTGTTTTCTTCATTCTTTCTCTCCTCTTCGACCTTTTTTTTCAATATACAGTTTGTTTTTCTTTAAATATAGTGCGTTTAATTTTTAAATACAAATATTTATATTAAAATCTATGTTTATTTTTTTGCATTTTTCCATCTACTAAAAAAAATGGGTCGAATAATATTTGATTGGCATTTGTTTAATTAAATATTATTCGTGTTGTTTTTTTCTTGTATAAACCTAGGTTACTTTATTTTTTTTATTTTTTCGAATGCTCTCTCTTTCTCGCAGTCGATGCAGCTAGATCGAGAGTTTACAATAGTTTTTATTACATCCAAGACACACAATTAAATATTGAAAATTAAAAATGGCACACTGACAACAAATTTTGACTCTATGTATTTACGACTATTATTAAATGTAAGTTTCGTTTTTTTTTTTCATTAAACTTTAGTTTCACATTCTTTTTTTCCGTACAAATAGCATTCACCAGAAAAAAAGTTCATATTCCTTAAAACTTATTTATATTTTTTTCATTAAATATGTTTACCCAAAAAAAAATAGTAAATAAAACAAGAACAACATACTTTTTTTAATAATATTATAATTATTGAGGTAGTTACTTCTTAGGTTTGGATAAAAAAAACTCTTTACATTTACATCGTGCGGGGTATCAATAGCATCTTCGTCATCTTTATGATATTTCTTTAAAACAAGTCCCTCTTAAAATTTTCGTTTTTTTTTATCCAATTCAACCTAAAGCACTATATTCTACAAACCGGGGGCAGGTTTCTGCAAGTCAGTCTCCTTTCCACAGTAACTATTTTATAATAAAAACTATAACTGAACAATATATATATAAAATAAAAAAAAAGATACACAAATAATAATTATTAGAAACGTTTATGATTTTTGATTTCAGCTATGGATAGAAATCAACGCTTACTATTATTTTACTGATTTAACATATTAGTAATGAAACTATAAACTATTTTATTTTTAATGTCTCCCTAGCGATTTAAATTTGAATTTTCTCTCTCAACGTTTTATTTTTCGGGGGGAGGGGGGGGAGCTTCAATCGCTTAATCGCAATAGAGTCTAAATTGGGGGGAGGTTGGGTTTGTTGAATGTTTCCTTCTTCTTTTGGGTATCCTTTAAAATTCAATTTTTAATGCCCTGAATTGGATCAAATTTAAATGGAGCCAGGGATTCTTGATAACTTTTCTTCATGGGGATTTTCATTTCTGTGTATTCGTATCATTTGAGGTTGTTTTAGGCGCTATTAGATTTTGTTTTGCATTGCCTTGAAGTTTTGATTTCTACAGAAATTAATGTGTTTCGCGTCATGCTTGGAGGAATTCCAAATTAATGTGGAGTTTCAGTAGTTGTTCAAACAAAAATGTCAATTTTGTGATTTTTTTTTTGTTCTTTGGAGGGGGGGTTCGTCTTTTTAACTTCTTCTAAAAAATAGCAGTTTGTGTCTTTTTTCTTTTCTTTCTCATTGAAGCGATGTTCTTCGTCTCTTTACTTTGTCAATTTGCCGTTGTTTGTTGTGAAATAAATGGATTGGCTACAAAATCCCGATTGTTCTTGGGCTTTTTCTTTCATTCTTTGTATTTTGCGTGCTTCTCTGTGTCTTCTTTTACCACCAGTATAAATATATGTACCCTTGTTTTCGATTATTTTTTTCATCTTTACTTTCTAAAAACAACACTAATCGCGTCTTCGCCCACTTTTTTTCTTACTCATTTTTGGCACACTTTGTACAAATAATTTAATTTATACATAATATATATAATATATATCCATTTCTTTCACGAATTCAATTAAAAAGCGATCCCGCTATTTTTTTTCTTTAATTATATTAATTTTTAATATTTTTAAAAATCTAACAAAAAAATATCCTCCCCAACAAACAATTTTTATCAAAAATAATTTTTTACAAGGTAAACCCGCTTATATAATAATAATTTTGGGCTCAATTACTTTGTTTATTTTAGACCTCATAGGGTAGGTCCTAAAATCTATATTATACCTCCGAGTCACTATTAATTTTCTGCTCCTTCCTCTTCCTTATCCTTCTTAATTTCTTTGTACTTTTAAGCGCAACTAAGTTTCGTTTCCTCTTTAGTTGCATAAAAAAAAATGTATCATCATCGTTTCGTCCGCTCCTCACCCTGGTATCATCATATTATACGTAACAATCATCACAGCAAAAAGTGATGCAGACACGCCGCGGCACCTTAACAAATATAATTATAATCTATTTAGCGGTGTGTCTGCATCGCATCTTATGGTTATTATTAATCCATTTTCTCGTCTTTTTTTCCGCCTCCTTTATACAAATTTAAAATCAAAACATCTTCAACATTTTTTTAACAATCTCCTAACAATAATTATAATAGTTAAAAAATGTCTTCTCATTCACACGCTATTACAAAATTAATAAAAAAATATCATAATATAAAATAATTTCGCAAAAAAAAATATAAAATAATAATAAAATCAAAATCATTTTTCTCCACAATTCGGCGACCCAATTTTTCCTTTCACTCCGTTCGAACGGCTTAATAAAATACAAGATATCTTCATGGTATTGCATATGTGTGTTTTCGCACGCCGAATTGTCAAAAAAATAATAGAATAGAACGAAAAACATATTTAAAAATTAAAATCACACATTCACACAAATAAGTTAACAACAGCCACGTTTGTTTCTTTATTATATTTTCTCTCTTTTCTTTTCGTACTTTGCGCGTCTGGAGGATAAAACCATCCGAACTGCACCGCAAATTACCACTTTCATAAAAAAAAGGAACTTAATCTGCCTTTACTGATGTAAACGATTCTTCTTGTTATTTTCAGGTTACCTAAACTGTGACTGCATGGGCTGGTTCCGGATTCAATCGAAACAGATTGTTACTATTTTAAATTTTCATCTCGTTAAAAGACAATTGAAATGGTCATAATCCAGTTTTTTTTGCTTCTTTCTTCACTTAATATAATTAATTATATTGTGCGCGCAGATGAACACGATCGTGTATCGAAAAAAAGAAGATAACAAAATTGTTTACTAAGTGTCTCTCCTTTTTCGTCTTTTCTTTTCGAGTAATAAAAAGCTCCCATACAATCGTGTGTCAAAACGCTCTCTCGCTTGTGTATTCTTTTAATCAATTTCCGAAATTTTTGTTGATTCGTATTTCTTTCAATAAAATCGTAGTAGTAGTAGTAGTTAATATATCTTTGGTTGTCCTTTAGTGTTAAAAAATCTCCCTTTGTTTTAAAACTTTGTATATAGTATATATATCTAATATATAATATTTCAAATTATCAAAAAAAAAGAAAATATATTTATTATAATATATCTGAGGTTCATTGTGGTTGGTCGCTGTAAAATATTCTGCAATTTGTTTTCAATGACTTGATTTGTTTTAATATTCTCTAATTGTTTTGATTGTTTGAGGTAGTTGTAGTAGTAATAGTTAATATAATATATATTTATATAGTAGTTATTTCATCTTCTTTTTTTCTTAATGCTTGTATGTTTTGTTAATCCTTAAATCATTTGTGAGGGGCACGCAGTTTACATCATACCGTTATTCCGAGTTCCGTCTTCCTTCGTTATCCACTGAATCGTATATATAGTTAACACCGTTAAAATTTCTCTTTCTCTCCTCCGACGTTTTTTTTTTTATCTTTTAATACACACAAAAATAATAACATCATAAAAATTAAATTAAAAAAAAGTGTAATAATATAGCATTAAATTCAACTCTAAATTAAATCTCCCAATAATAATAAATAATAAATCTTCTTAAAAGATGTAGCACTTATAGCATTGAGGTATTTGAGGTTCTTTTTTTAGTTTCTTTTTTCTCTTCTTTTTATAAATATACTATTTGTTATTTATCTTTCTTTCTCTTAGTTTCTTTTTTAATAAAAATTAGATAAATGTGGAAGGCCTCGAGATGTTATGTACAAATAACGTATGATTAAAACCCATGCGGTTAACGGCAGTGATGCGTTCATTGAAGGGTTACTGTTGACCTTCAGCTGGGACATCAGCTTGTTGGTCTTTTGGTAATCTGGGGCCGCGAGGCCTTCCTTGGGGCGGCGCCACCGATTGTAACACCATGGCGCGGATACGCCTCTGAGCGGACTGCAAAGCAAAGAAAAAAGGCAAAGAATTATTACATCTCACTTTTCACCTCATTAATGTTGCACGACGTACCTGGACGCTGAAGAAGGGCCCAATGATATGCACGGTGGTCTCATCCTCTTGCGGGCTGCTGCCTTGTTCCGGCAGCTTGATTACACTTCCGGTCACTCTCTGAAGCTCCCTTACGTTCTGACCACCCTTACCGATGATGCGGCCCACCTGCGAACTAGGCACCATTATTTCCACTGTCAATCTTACGTCATCAGAACCGGCCACGAATCCTTCTTCGCGCATCTTCTCAAATATCAAATATTGAGCCTAAAACAATATAGAACACATGAAAACTTTATATTGCAATTTATACAATCAGACCCTTAAAAATCAGCTATTCACTACAATACATCTGCATGTATCAGATTAACATTACAGTAACTAAACCTATACATAACAAATAGTTATCGCACAAATATTACGAAAAGTTATTATTTTTTGTATATCATAAGTTTTGAATAAATGTCAAACTGACTATTTTGTACGTAAAATATGCATACTTTAAAAGTATCGCGTGGTAATAAAAAAATGTAAAATACTTTGGTAATTACTCGTGTATGTAACCTAGTATGCTTAACATAAACGACAATGTAACCTACTAAATTCATTCCTTATTATCTTAATAAATATTTTCACTTCATGACGACAAAAACAAATATTGAAGTATTTTTCTGCTAATACGTAAAACATACATACAACTTTCAAATGTACCAAGAATGAAAGCTTTTGATACGTAAAACAAACAATTGCTATTTGAAGTAACTAATTTCAAAATCTATACAATTTAATTTTATAGAAAATAAAAGAATAATTCACAATATTAATTTATAATTATTATTCTAAATCCGAATTTTACCGGTAATTACTGTATACAAATAAAACATTGATAATATAAATTCTTCATTAATTATTAATGACGTATAATAGCAACGATTTATGAAAGTTAAATTATAAGTTACCGTTATTTATCAAAAGATCATTAGTATTATGTAAATGACTATTGCGATAGCGAACGTTCATTGTGACTCATGTTATTAGTTTACTTCAATTAATTTTTCAGTACTAACTGCTGATGAAATTACTTTCAGATTGATTTTTTGAATGAACTGCATTTTTATATAAATGATTCTTACCTTCCATTGAGCTTCGGGTGAACCGACAATAGTGACCCGACGCTCTGTTTGCATGTCCTGCGGCTTGGTCTCGTCCAGTGGAGCAATTTTCACGGTAGCTCCGGAGAATCTGATGATGTTGCGGATGTGGGATCCTTTGGTTCCTATGATGGCGCCCACCGCGTTATTTGGTATGTAAAGGTAAGTCGTTTCCTGGGTGTCTCCTGCTCCGCTCTGTGGTGCACCAGCCGGATAGATGCCAGGATATGGAGCTTGTCCAGTGTACAAACCTCTGGATCCGTAACCTATTCCTAACCAAAATCCAAATAAGTCAAGTACCACTTAGATGAACGACATCATAGGTGATGATGATCATCAATGAACGGCTTAATTACCTGCGGTGGCCATCATAGCCATGGGGTGCAGACCCGGGAACATCATTGTTTGAGGTGCCATGGCTTGCAGATCATTCTCGTAACTCTGACGAAGTTTGGCGCTGATTTGAGCTTCCGCTTTGCTCATGTTCTCGATAACTCCCTTGACGGTGATGATGCGCTCCAGATTGAATGAGTTGATGTCATTAATACTGGACACAGTGATCTTCGTGTCGGTCTCCTGCATGATGCGCTTTATCGTGTTTCCACCTTTACCGATTATCCGGCCGATCAGATTATTGTGCGCTAGAATTTTCAGCGAAATATCCCTATTCGACACACGGAGAGAAAAGAAAAAAATTAGATAAAAAATGCGAAACTGCACCGTTCGAAACCACCAGACAGAAAATTGTATGCGCTGTTCACAAAGGGCGCGTAGCAATTTAACATCAAAGTGGCTGGGTGGGTGGCTGAGTTTTGCTAATGCGAGGAAAAAGTGCAGCCGAAGATTGACCGGACGAGAGGGTGTCGGAGAGTTAACGGGGCTGAGCATATACTAAGTCGAATTTAATTATGTCAGCACGGAGCTCTTCGTGTTCAATTTCCCTGTGCGAGTAGAACGGCTTTGCCCTAAATCGGTGGTTGCAAAATCGCTCAAATGTCACAGGATTGCTACCTAATTAAGAACTGAACCAATCTAACCAGACTGATAGTATGTGAGTATGCAACCAACGTACCCTTTGTTTGTATTATTTGCCTCCTGTTGCATCACGTCCAGGATCCTCTTGCATGCGTTCGTGCAATTCTCCGGATTTCCGTAAATGGTAATGGCTTTCTCCAGAGAACCAACATTGTCTTTCCTGTGCACGTCTACTCGAGCTCTAGTTTGCTGAGTGATCTGCCTAATAGTGGAACCCTGTCTACCGATAATCGCTCCGACCTATAAAACAAATACATTTGTTATTCATATATTCCGGAGAGAATTTGTCGAATGTATTATTCGAAGTGACCCAGGGAAGAGCTTAAACGGAGTTTCCTTGATTCCGACACAATAATTGGCGTAGCTCAGAAAAATCGATTATCCTCTTAAAACGTTCGAATGTGTAATGTACACACCTCGCACGATTAATGAATATTGATCAGTAATGTGCACAAAGAATTATAAATTCTGAAATAAGTGGGGCGGGAGGAGCGGTGTATGGGGATTGGTTGGTGAGGTAATTACCATATCGCTTTGGACGAGAATGCGAAGGGGAAAATCGGTCTGGCGGTTTTGTCCTGGCAATCCCCCGAAGGGAGCCCCAGGAACGCGGGGCCCACGTCTGCCCTTCTTATCGCTCGACATCTCCGCCCTCAAGTGTCTGCCCTCGAGCTCGACTCCGTTCACGTGATTAACGGCTCTGCAAAATGAAAAACAAAATTTCATTAAACGTTCTTCGGGAGGAGAATAACGAGAACTTACTGTTGCGCCTGTTCGACAGTTTCGAATGTAATCTGAACGATTTGAGAGGCGGGATCCTTGCAGTTCATTTTATCAACGTTCACCACAGGACCATGGGGTGTTAGCAAGTGTTCGATGTCCTCGAAGCGCACATGCTGCGGCAAGTTCGAAACGATAATTTTTGGCGTGGCACTGCAAGCAGAGAAACAGAGAATAAGTTAATAAATAAATTCCCTTAAAATAGGTGCTCGTAAATTTCATCCAAATCCGTTGTTCCCGCCCCACATATTCATTATTTCCACCTCTTCTCCTTCTTCTTCTTCAGGAGTGCAATAAATCTCATATGAAAGAAGGTGCGCGTGTGCTTTGCGTTAATTTCATGGTAAAAAAATCCTCCCTTAAATCGCTCGAAACCAAAAACGGGGGGATGAGGAGAAAAAGAGCGAATCAAGGTAAGCGCTCTTTATTAAGACGTGAATCGGGGGAGGGAGAGAGAGCTGGGCACGTATTATTCAAGCTTTCGAGAAGCAAAGCAAAGAAGAGACCGAGGGATGCTTTGATGGAGACAGAGCGAGAAAATGGATCAGAGCACGAAGGAACAAATAATAATGATAATAATAAACGGACCTTTCTCTACCCCCTGTCGCCTATTATTTATTTCAATGCCCGCAAAAAATAATAATGAAAAAAAAACTCGTTTTGGGCGTACGCGAGCATCATTATGAATTATGATCATATAGAATTTATGATGCGGACCCGTGTGTGCACGAGAGAAGAACGGAGAGAGGGAAAAAATGTATATTTATTTAATACTCATATATTATCCTGGAACCGTTGGGGTGAGGATAAAGTGTGTATAGTATTCGTAGGAGACTCAGACTGCAATGGATTAAAATGAAACATCAATTCAACTTTGATTGCGCGCAAAAAACGCCCGCAACGACAGTGTGACATTAATTCGGTGTGCAACACCCACGCAATGTCTCTTTGAAAGATCATGATGACATGTATTATTCTTTCGGTATACCATATACCTTTTTTGTGCATCCAATCAATGCATGAATGTTCGAAAAAAAAACAGAACTGCATCAAATAATGAACTTTTTCTATTACTTATTCATCAATTCTAGGGCCAATAGATGCAAATATTATAATTGATTATAATCAACTAAATTTATATCTAACATTCAAAACTTCTAAACAAACTGTAAATTATATTCATGGACATGGAAAGAATGTCCGATCTTTGTATGTATGTGTACAATAAATTATGTTTATAATTATTATATTCATCATCAATTATTCATTAAATAAATATAATACATTTATTAATATAGCAAAAATATAAATCAAGCACTTTTGTTTAAAATGTGTATTTTTATCAAATAAATGAGCGTACAAATCGGAAACGGATCAACTAAATAAGAGTGCAGAAAGACCTTAATTTTTGTTATTAAATTAAGTTTTTCTTATTTTTGTAATTTATTGATGCAAAAATATTATTGTTTATAAAATAAGATTAAATAATTAAATAGAAATAATTTAAAGAAGACCGAAGAAAACTTTGATCCTCAGATAATCGCGTTCTGAAGATTTATGAATGACTCGATTGTGAAAGCAGTTTCGATAATTGATAATGCTATCTAAAGATTTCCCCTTTTCGCTCGCTATTGAAATTAATTAGTAAAACGAAAAGAAATAAATAAAAAAGAAGACACGATTAAAATGGTATCGGACTAAGCAAATATTTTTTTCGAGAAAATTCTAATTATCGTATCATTAAGTGGTAAGCAGATAAAGGGCAGTCGTATAATTTTGGAGCGCACGAGCGGTGAGTAATAACATACACTGTTAATAAAATTCGGGACCTCTGAAATAAGGAGCACAGCAAAAGAAATGTGGAAGTCTGCAGCAGCTGCTAATGTTTAAAGTGAAATAGCGAATTTAAACAAAAAAGCAATTTATAAATGATTGCACAGAGAGAAGAGCGAGAGATGGAGGTCATTAGCCTTATAATTACGTAAATGGTTCAAGTATAGCAAACAATAAATATTTCAGTGAACACATTTACAAAATCAATATTAATTAATTTCATTATTTGCACAATATAATTTTTCTATGTCGCAATAATTATGCAATGACTTATTGTTTATATTTAATTCGAACGAACAGCGATCGTTAGCAAAAAATTGCTTTTGAAGGAAATGTCAACAAATAATTAAGCATAGGTGGAAAGACTAATGTCAATAGACATTTGAATGTAGCAACAAATTATCTTTATTATTATTAATTAAGAATGATTTCAATAATTATTACATCAGAATTCTTATAAAATAATTATAGTTAAATAGAATTTACTGCTTGTTATTTTTAGAATTGGTTAAAACATTGAAATATGTGCATTTTATAAAGGTTTACATACCGAACAGTAGTTTAACAAAGAGACCATAGACGTGTAACTTAAATAACCTCCATCAACACTAATAACATTGCATAACGGATGGATTTAGGATGTCGCATGCTCACGTGACTCAAATTTTGAGAGTAAAGCGGTTTTGGTGAGAGTGAAGCATATGAAGGTACCTACATTTTCCAGTGGCCAAACATTCTGCAACGCCGGTAAATCAAGACTTTACAGAAGGGAAAAAATATAAATAACTGATAAATCCTGTTAAGGGAATAAATAGAGACTTTGCCACATATGCAACGGCGAAACACCACACACACACAACATACACACTATATACACTATATATTATATACTGTGTAGTCGAAAAATAACGTTAGCCTCCAAACCAAAAATTTTTATAGATAAGGCAAACGAGCAGTAATGACGGTAGCGAGAGAGAAAGAGAGAGTGGAAGATTTTGTTGGGTGAGAGGAGGAGAATTAAATATATGTGAGAGAGAAAGAGAGGGAGAAGGAGAAGAGTAGTTTTCAAATATAATATCTGGAATAAATATTGGTCGAGATGTTTGTACAAAGATAAACAGAGTTGGAGATGCATCGCGGAGGAAGAGTTCGGTGTCATCTTTGAATCGAGAGAAAGCTGGGACTTGTCCAATTTAGAAAACGTCACCTCAAATGGGAAAAACGAAAAAGTCGATAGTATCAAATAACGAAAAACGTCCTCCCCAACCAGGAATGTTTATCTACGATAGCGCCGTTCTGCCGCTGATAATAAGTTATCAGATATCTGTTTATTCAAAGCATGAAAAAAATAAATAAAAAGCAATCACATTCAGTCATGGGGACATGAGCAACGCGCAAATGAATGACAATTAACAATAGCACTTTACATGTATTTTATTCAACTCAAACGTTATATATTTATATAATCCATCATATAAATATAGAAAATATAAAGAGGAATCAATACATAAAAGTATTGTTCTATATAAATTGACATTTGTAGTAAGTTACTATATATTGATCTATAAAAGTTTTAAAGTAATTAATTCCTTAACATACTAATTGATATTTACATTTTTTATTATACTATTTTTTATGGAATAACTTGATATCTGGAATAATAGGAAATGACAAGATGTAAACAATAGAATCTTAACATTAAGCTAATAAATATCCTGGTATTCTATTCTGCTTATAATTTATAGTTCATACAAATAATTTAAAAATAAGTACTTTATTGTAACTATTACATGTTTATGCAAATAAAACAATGTCCGAAAACGGCAAGAAATATTAATAGAAAAATCGAATTTTCACATTCGACTTGACTGAAAATGTTAAATGCGACAATGATTTTTCAATTATTTCTTCATGGAAGAAAAGTTTCTATGAAAAGAAGCCCATCGGTAAGAAAACGCCAACTTGTATAGGTTTTCTCGTGCGGAAACGCCGAGTCGTTATAATAAACAGCTTTTAATTTAATTACATTTGTCAACGAAGCGCGCAAGAGAAAGAATTACAATGGAAATAATGAAACACTTGCAATTCGGATTGAAACAAATAAGTAAATAATGATTGGGGTAAAACCGGAAAGATACTTGTATCAAATCTACGTGAATATTATTATGAAGGAATTACTTTGAAAACGTGTTCAAATTTCTGAAGCAAATTATTATTATTATTTTCTCATTTTGTCGGCATTACAGAGAGCACAACGGAACTGAACTGGATGGGGAGAGCGCTCTTTTCCCTTTCATTCTTTCGTTTTTGTTTGTGTGTGTTTTTTCGTGCATTTTAGTTAAGGTGAGCCAATTTTGTTCTCGCCATTGTCCTTTTCTATATTTTGTTCGATATACAACATTTAGTGCCGACAAATAGCCTAATTGTTTGCAGTTGTTGTTGTTTTTCTTTCCGTTTTTAAAGAGAACTGGTCATTGTCATCAGCTCGGATTGGTGGGGCGGTCAGGCTGAGCTTGCTGAGGGGTTCTCTTCAATGTTTGTTACTTCGCAAAGTGTTCGAGCCCGGCTCCTTTGTTTGGACACTACCGTATCCTTTCGGCACAGAACCCGCCGACAAACGCGAGAGTTAGTTAAGAGGCGAATCCCCGAGCCCCGCAGGCCGCCGCGGCGATCCGATAGGGGCCAATTAATAATTTGTTTCGAAATCGCAGTCCACGACCAGCAACTCCCTTCTTTAGGACGGTAATTCTGTTACACGAGTGCCCTTCAACGAAGCGAACAAACATTGTTTTCAACATTTCGTTCTTTTATTTCTCATTACGCATTTATTGTTCGGCTCCCTTGGTTAAAAAAAAAGTGCGTTCGCGTTGCCAGAAAGGGCAGATAAAAACTTGTCGCGACATACTGGATTGTTCGATGGATGTACAAACATCATGTCGGCACATCGATCCGAAATCGAAAAACAAACGCAGAAACACGATAGCGATTGTCCTTTGAGCGATTTCCTGTTGTTCGTTCTATTTATACATGTATGCAGAAAACTTATCAAGGCGGGTCCCTGCAAGGCCGATGTGACAATTTTTCTTTGGTTTTGTTTTTGAATTTCCCGCTCGATCTAAACATCTTTGAGCCCCCTCCGTAAACACACGCACTCATATCTCTCCAACTTCCACTATGATAAATTTAAAATGTGGGTCATGAAACATAATAAAGCCCATGTATATTAATGTACACATGTATCTAAAATAGTTACTGTTTATTATTCACTGCTATTATTACATATTAATTCGTCGATGTTCCATATCATTTTCTCCTTAAGG